CAGGAGGGCAAAATGATAAACAAAGCTCTTGCAGAAAATGTAAGAGTTAGAGAAACCAGTGATATCAAAAAGGGAATGTATGTTCAAGAGTGTTTTGAAAAAAGACAAAGAACAATATATCATGGCTTCATAATTGTGTGATAGAAATTAAAACCAAGGGAACAAAAAACGGGAATGGAAATAGCAACGGCCAATGAGGTAAATAAGAAAACAAGCTGAAGAAAGGTTCTGATGATTACTAGCAAGTCGCCCCCGTAGGTCCCTATCTGCATCCTCTCCCCTTAGGCCCTAAACCCCGACCGAAAACACCGGAAAATACTAACAGCCGTAAATGAAAGCTTTCTAGAAGGGCGCATATTGCGGAGAGAGAAAGAGCACTGCAAAGTAATTAAAAACACAAAAACACGAACCAAGGAAGGCTCCTGGGACAGATTTGAAGGCATGCATGTTATGAAAAACGCCGAATTGAAGTAAGGAATATCAAGAATGGAGAAAATCTGCAAAACAAATTAAATATGAAAAGGAGGAAGTAAGTAAAGATCATTACAGAAAGGGCCATGCTTTAAGAGTTCCGGCAGAGCTTTGTAGAAAAAGGGGAAAAAAAAGAAGAAAAAAAGAGACAAAAGAGACCATGTGTGGATCGAAACCCATGACGGTGTGGATAAAAGTGCAAAGGGGTATTTCATTATTTCAGGGAAGGGAATTTAAGATTTCTAAGTAAAACCGAACCGAATATTCCGGTGTTTACGAGTCGACGGATAATCATCCAATTGCGAACGCGGAGGATATCGAGGAAACCAAGGGCCAGGAATGAACAAGCCAAAGGACGTATGTATGGATCACAGCGTTGAGGTGGGAAAAAATAATTTTCAATGTCGCGGAAGTTGTTCTCCTAAATACGAGGCGGGTATATGGATCAGACGATATTTCCTCGTCATGACACCGTCTCCTGCTCGTTGGTGGTGCCTGGGTCGTTGCTCTCGGAATTTGACACGCCTTGACCTCGACATAGCGGGCAGGAATTGCGCCCGGTGGTCAACCACTATAGCCAGTGTTAGTTACTCTGCTTCATCAATAACACGATATGTCGGAGAAGAACCGAACACTTACCTCATCAATACATTCGCGATGATAGAGGTGATGGCATTTGGTTAACTGTCTGACTTCCTCCGCAGCCTCATACTCGGAGAGGCAGATAAGACATCTTTCATTTTCAGTAATAAGAATTTTCTGGGTCGTATCTGCCGATTCAGCGATTAGAGAACCATCATATTCGACCAATCGATATATGCCTCCTGCGGAGGCAACGTCTTCCTGGGAAGCGACAGGCGGTTTAGCGGGACCAAGTAACGATGAAAGGAGTAACATGTCCTCATAGGTAGGGTTCTAATAGCGCTTGATTAGACAATGTATTTATTTGAGACAATGGCAATATGTCAGGTTACATACATCTGTAAATAAACTTGGAGTTGCAAAAGCTGGGTGGTTTTCAGATAAATTCGTGCCAACCACGTAGATCAACCAGCTTCTTCCTGCAGATGGCGAGGTACTATCGGGTTCCACAACGCCATTTCGTCTTGCAGCTCCAGAGCCAAGTCCGCGATGACGAGCCGTTTCTGAGTCGCTTCTACGGCGTTGGCGTACATTGTTGAAGAGAGGGTGATGATTTTCGGAGGACTCGTCGGGTTCCTGCGAAGAGTCTTCATTCAATTGCGGAAGTGCAACTGAGGATGCCGACGGTCGTCGACTTGGGCTGTTGGCTTCTGAGGAAACATTGGACAAACCAGGGTCGGCAGGAGTAGATGGAGGGGGATGAGGACCAGGTGGACTTTCTGATAGAACTGTGGGTAATGAATTGGCCAAATTTGATTGATTGCGAGATGATGTATGTGACCTTTGGTGACGCTGGCTATCGTAATTGGCAGGGAATGTGTTGCTTCCCATTGAGCGACGATGGCTTGAGAATCTAGACCGTCTATCAGCGCGCCGAAGAAACCCACTGGAGTCCAGCTCGGATCGAGAGACGTTATTTGGTGAAATAAACGGCAGCCGGAGCAGAGAATCCAGTGATACATGGGCGTGGAGTCCAGCATCATTGTCGGATCCATTGCTTATAGAGGGAACTGACCTTACTCCTACCACCACCAATGTCACCAATCGTCTGTCCTGGCTATTGTCTGTTGGTGTCGGGTCATCAAGGTCCATTCTATCCGATCCACTGTCCTGAGTATATTCAGAGCCTGGTTGGTTAGGATGTCCTGTTGTCGAGTTACTTTCTGTATTTTCCGGGTTGACAAAGCGGAACACCCTTAAGAAGTTAACGTGAGGTAAGCCACCGTCCCTTTGGTTACTCCCACTCTCGTCTTCTGTCCCTATTCCTTGGGTTTGGGTAGATGTTGCCTGTTGTAAACTTTGTATAAAGCTTTCCAACGACCCATCCGCACCGTCCGCACCAATAGCCTGGATATTGGGCATTGCTGGTGGTGTATTTCCTGAGAGCTGGGCAGCAATTGCAGCCGCTGCCATTTGCAAAACGCGAGACAACGGGGTTTGTTCATCCCGGCGAATGGAGCGAATGTGTCGTGAACGCGAAGGAGTATGTCTTCGTGCGGGGGAAGAGGTCCGGGGAGGCCGAGAAGGGGTACTTGTAGACATTTGTAGTGTATTCCTTGTAGAAGGCTCAACGGAGTCAAGTTCACGGGATCCACCAAATTCCATGTGCGTGTCCATCGATCCTAAAGGCGGAAGTAAGTGATCGGAGTCCTCGGTAAAACTAGGCCGTGATGGTCGACGTGGGGGCAGCATTGTTGTCTGGTTTGGTTCAGATATGGCAGGTGGTTGGCCAAATATCTGAGATATTGGCACAGCAATAGAATGCCGGACATGGCTTAATCTCGCTCGATGACGCCAAGAAAATCTTCCGGAGCTAGAATCCCTTGCCATCGCGGTAGAATCTAGGTATATGGGGTTGGGAGGAGAATCGGGTAATAGAGCTGCATCGCCTCGTGGAGGAGGGTACGGTCCACGTATCGAGCGTCGCCTAGATATCCCTCTTGAACTAGACCCAGGAAGAGATGAGAAGCGGTGTGAATGGTGAGCAGAATCCGACCTGTGTAGAGTCCTAGACAACAAACCAATCCTGTGAGCACGTCCTTCCGCGGGTGTTTCTTCTCCGCTATTCAACAGGCCCCTCACAACTGCGTTTGGAAGGATCCTCGAGCCGAGACGAGACATAGTCGACTGTCGATTTGTCGCGGACGCTGGAATGGCAGCAGTGGTTTCAAGGGTGGAAGAAGAGTAATGCGATCCCAAACGTTCCATAGTTCCTACAGGGCTGTCTGCTCGTAGGGATGGGTGGAAATCCAGGTCACTCGAATTTCGAAACATATCAATATCAGGATTAGTGGTGACTGAAGGCAATGGTGAAGCTGCAGATCGGGATGTTAACAGAGGACTTGCATGACTGCGCTCGACAGTACTGTCAATCCCGCCAGTAGAGCGATGTCGACGGTGAAAAGGATGGTCCACGTTTCTAGGAGAAGATTGTTGGTTGTGTTGTTCGCGTGAAAGGCGCGAGAGGGAGAGTGACGAGATACTGTTATTGTTGTGGTTGTGGTTGCTCTGCGCGAAGTCTGCGCGTTGGGAAGAGGATACTTGCCCCATAGTACAATGAGAAACAAACCGGGTAGCTGATGGGCCACCACTGAAGCAGATGTCGGAAGGAGCAGGAGCAAAGACCTCGAGAGTCTACTTAGTCACTCATATTTGGGAGGGAGGGGACTATCTGGCCGCAGGAGAGGGAATCTTTAGAGAAGGTTAGGCCGAGGTTTTGAAGCCACTCGATTTCGATGAGTGACCGCCTGCGACGAGAGAATTAATGAGACCCTGGGTGGTTGTTGGGTGGGATAAATGGCCTTGGAAGTGATCCAGGAGAAACAGAGAGGATACTTACAAAGGACTGAGCCGAAGGGATCGAGTGTTCTCGGTTGGGAATACGTGATGGTCAGGCTTAAGTCCACCGTGACTAACAATCACTAACTGACCTTGGACAGCCGCCGACTGGTGAAAGATAGACTTGTTTCAGGGCCGCATTAGTCGCAGGGCACCACCAAAAGAAAGTAATCACGCTAGAGAAGTTCTGGCGGTGGGTATTATAGAACGAGTGTTGTGAGCAAGGAAATGCAAGGAAACTGGTTCCAGAAATAGTCCAGGTCTCAGCCTACGACACTATCTGGGTCCGTGGCAGAAAGGTACAACAATAATCCGTGAAGATGATGATGATGAAGTCGAAGCAAAGTTGAAGCGATTCGGAGCGAGCTGAGGTTGATTGAGGTCACGTATGATGCCAGAGCGGGTCCGGGGTCCCGTGATTACCGTGATTACGGAGATATGTTGTTCCGAGGGCTGTCATTGCACGGAGTTAGCCTTTAGTTATGTTTCATGAACGTTGAACAAGCATTGCAAGAGTGAGAGAAGATGATTCGGCATGCTGGGATTCGAAGCGAGAGGGAGTGCAGATAGAAGGCAGAGAGGCGAGGAAGGGTTTCATTGAACAACTCCCATTCCGATATAGCAACTACTGGTACTATTGAACTTGAACTGCTAACTAGCCCCAAGTCACTTATCAACCCACCATGTCTCTGGGATCAATGTGATGACGCCCATATCCACATGGGTTAGACGATGTCTGGTCTACAATATTCCGTGGCGAGAACTGAACATACCCGATACACATTCATTTACTCCATCCATCTTCTGATCATTGAGACATTACAATCATCGCCTCTGTAGGTATGTCCTCTCTATTGGACAATCCATGTCCAAAGCGGATTAATATTTATCCGTGATTTGCTCAAAGCTGATGAGGACTGCGAAAGTAACGACCACCCTTGAGAGGAAGCAGTCTAGATATTGTCCTGGCCATGAGGGAGTAAGAAGAAACGAAACAAGAAAGCCAGGCTGCAGGATTACTGTTTGATTGGTTCTGGAATATCACAGCAATGACGTTTGCAACTGTCAGCAACCGGGTTATGCGATGATCTTTGGAGCAACACGTTCGGCAATGCCATGCTCGCCTTGACAAGACAAGCCATTTTAACCTGATTGGTCCCCGCATCGGGTCATTGATGTCTTTATCATACTTCTCTCTTCCTCTTGCCACATGGCAGCAACCAGCGAGTTGGCGTACTGCGCGGTATGAAGCAAACAAACGCAAGCAAAATGATCATATAGAAGTGGATGAGGTATCCACCGCAAGCACCAGCGATGATGACGCCGGTGTAGCCAGCAATCCCCAAAACAGTGCAGATGATGGGAAAGGTACCCGCTCCTGTCCGAAGTCACCGATAGTTTTGTCACCAAATGAGGCACACCAATATCGGGTTGCTGGCCTGCCATTTCATAGAGCACTCCCAGGTGGAAGCTTTCCCCATTCGAGACCTGGACCAAGCAAGAGCAAGCCTTCCAGGATCAGCCAAAGGGAGATCGAGAGGGAGCTGTCTCAGCTATCACCACCAATCTTCATTCCCAGTTCTACAGATCAGAACAACAGTCTACGACTGCTGCACCTGAATGTAATTACAACAATACTCCATCGATGTCTGCTAGAAGGCGATTACGCGCGGGCTGGGAGAGCATGGGGCTTGATCCTACGTGATGAATTCGGGGGTCATGGCATGGATGTCCGAAGCAGTGGACGGTGGGGGATTGGTGCGGAAATCCTGCTATGGAGTGATCGCAACCCGATAGCGGAGTCGTCAGCATCATTACGGACTGGAAATGCTGACAGCGCGAACTTCCTACCCCGAAGACAGTGGTTTACCCGCAGAGGATTTGAGCGCGCCAAGAGCTACTACGAGCGCCTCATACTCCAGTTTCCATACCGTAAAGCCGCACCGACAGCATTGAGTCCACTGGACTTCTATCCCGCGATGTTCGGGCTTTGGATTTCGCTCGTGCAAAAAGAAAGCCAGTCGGCGCGAGACGCGGTCGTGATGGACATGCAGGGCATGGCAGAAACGTACGACTTTGACAACCCGGCTCGGGATGATAATATGTCTATATCCGGTGCCATATCCCAACAGCCCGACAGTAGAAATAATCGAAAAGAAGATACAATTGTTGAAGCCCGTCGTAGGGAACTCGAGGAAGCCCAACAAATAGCAGCGCAGATGGATGAGTTATTGATTTCCCCGCCGTTTTCGGATAGCTACGAGCTCCTGCGGTTACGGGGAATGTTGTCCTTGTGGATCGCGGATTTGTTTGTATTATCCGTCTTCCCAGAGAATGACGATATGAGCAATGTCCCGTGTATGAGGGACTTTGATGGTGATCAGACCATGTTTTCTGATGATGATGCTGGCTACACGGACTCGGTGCTTGCGCGTATGGAGCAAGGGTCGGGAATGCACAAGAAGATGGCAGAAGTGGAGAAGGCCAATGTATTTTTCGAAAAGGCAAAGGCCACAAAGGCCAAAGCGAGCAGGAAGCAGACGTCATTGCCTCCCGATGAGGTAGATGAAGATGATTCTGTTATCTAAACTTGGTTAAAGCCTCTAGCTCGTCACGCTGATCACGGCTGTCCTGTATTCATGTTCGGAGACGGAGATGCCATGAAATTAACTGCGACTTCGGTCATTACATATCTTCCGTTATAAGGTTTCTGCTGTCGCTGTATGCTGAAGAGTATGTGACGACATCTGCTTCTTATTTACGATTAGTTCCATGGGCTAGCATGATATGGAACGTTAAGAGAAGGCAACGAGGTAAACCTCCCCCGAATGCGATATCAATACCCATGTCAACACGATGACATTACGGTTGTGTGAAACAAAAATTTATACTCATGTAATCTACCGCTCAACTCCCGCTTTGTCCACTCAATGCCTACACAAATCTTCATTCTTACGTCCAGCTTCAAAATTCAATATCATGCCCCATGAAGCAGTTAACTTAATGTTTTTTTATGTCTTCTGAATACTACTCTGAACTTAATAGGTTAACCGATTGTAAATATTTATCGATATTTATATTAATTTTATAATTTCACGGTTTTATTAGTGTTTCTGTTATAGATAGAAATCATTGTCTAGAAATGAAAAGGTGCTAGCAATGACCTCATGAGGAAGTTTATAAGTTTGATGCTTGGCGACTCAGTTAGGTGTCAACCACCCCATAACATCTACCATAAGGGTCAGAACTGTTTCGATTTCCATTTCTAGTGTCCTATACCTCCGTCCTGTGGCCCAATATTAGATACAGATCAGAGAACGAAATATATTTGACATGTAGGACAGCCTAATCAGGCAGGCGAGATCATGTGACGACATGTTGAGACATGCTTTGACTTTTGGCGCGTTCAACCTCAGCTCCTGATTCCTGTGCAGCACCACTGATGAGGAGGGTTGTGGAAGTGGGCATTGCCACAGTAACCATCTGAACATATACGCTGAACGTGTACCTATCCTTTTGTACCAAACCGTTTCAAAATTCTTCATTCTCTCGTAATGGCGGTGGCGGAATACGTTCGAGGCAAGGCATTGCAAAATGATATCCCAGCTTCTCAGGGCGGCAAATATGTTACAGGCAACCCCTCAAGGGAACTCATGGCGAATATGGCTAGAGTCAAAGTGCCAACGACGAGATTGAGTGAGAAACCCTTATCTGCAGCTTGGACTACTGGGGAACATCGACCAGTCACAGCAAGCAAAATCCGAGGGCAGACCACGGGGTTCCAAGTACCAACAAGCCAAGAAACATCAAAGGATATATTTGATACTGATGTGGAAACTGTCGATGATTCTACTACCACAGTTGCGAGCTTCATTCGAGAGCAAGATAGTCGCAAGCGTGATTTCCAGCTTGACCCAGCCCCTCCTCAGGTCACCGGTCAGGATGAGAATGACTTGCCATCAAATGTTCAGTATAGCCAGGGTAATTCCCGTGGTCGAAGTGCGCTGGAGGAGAGGATGATTATGGAGCTTGGCTCTGATCCAGAATACGTGCATGAGGATATTATAGTGCAGCATGGTACACATATGCAAGGCAATGAGGCCCAAACTGGAGATGAGGATGACTTTGATGGAGATGATGCCCAATTATTTGATTGGAGAAACAGCAACGACACCAATGGAGAGCCGCTCAGTTGGCAGAATATCGAAGCGGTCCTGCGCGATACCAAAGCTCCCCTGCCAGTGCAAAACCTGCAGCAGCAAATCAACATTAATCCGCGTTCTGTCCCTAAGCAATCGGATTACGAGAGCTACTCGGATAGTAATATGTATACGCCTGAAGCAACGCAGAGAAATTCTACTAGTGGTCGGCTCCTGACGAGATCTCGTTTTGGCACCCCAAATCCGCGTGGTGGAGCTCCCCTTGATGGGGAAAAATTCTTTGGTACACGGCCAATTCCACAACCGTCACCCTCCCGCACAGTCATTTTATCTCCACAGTCACAACATGCCTCTCAACCAAACATTACAAAACCCAACAAACCCAACCCTCTACAATCGATACGTGACAACCATGATCCGTACAGCCGCGGTGGTCTATTCGACATCACAGATCTAAGTGCCCTAGACAGTTCTTCATCCGACAACAGCACAGACAATCAGCAGACATATACATCTCTACGCCTGTCCACGCTATCCTCTCTCTCCACCAAACGCCCCTTGGCCGAATTCCCATCCGACTATCCCCCAAACATCTTGGAGACAAAAACATTTGCCGACCTCCAAGCGGAATCATTCGATTATAACCCAGCCGCTCCGCAGCTTATCTTCCAGCCGCAGGATCCACCCATCCCACTTTCAGAGAAACTCACTCGACTAAAGGTATTGACAGACGAGCAGCGCCAAACGTTCTTCGCATCACTGAAACTCACGGAGTGGGAAGAGAGCGGCGATTGGATCATTGAACAGTTTAGCCTCCTGCTTCAACGGACGAAAGAGGCCAGGCGCGAACGCCGGAAAGTGGCTGCTTTGTTTGAGAAAGAGATTGAGAGGAGGTATGAACTTGTGCAGGTGGAAGGGAAAGGGATCGGCCAGAGATTAGAAGAGATGAGGATGGGAGGGATGGACGTTTTAAAGGTGCGGGTTTCGTGATGAAAAAAAAAAATAAACATAAGATCGTTTATTTTGTCATTTTTCTTGCTGTCTACTAATCTCCATTTTTATGGGCTACCTTACCTTATCTGTTATTTTGTAACGATACCCTGGCATTCCCCCCATTCCCAACCGAGCCTGGCCAGAGTCTCTGGTAGCTGAGCAGCGCTCGCTCGCAGAATGGTGACATGGAAGACCTTGATTACTCTTAGACATGGCTGTTAACTTTCCTTTGATGATGCATTTTTTTTAGATTCTTTTCCCCCTCAGCCATTTCACTTTATTTGTTTTCCTCCTGCCCTTTTTATATTCATACAGATGGCGTTGAGAAAGGGCGAGGGTTTGTCGAACGTGTGGCGATGGCTGAAGCAATGACGTGCGGCCAAGGCGAAGAAGATAATCGATAATCATGCCTTCGCTTAATAGATAATAGAAGATATCATGAAAAATACAAAATATTTATTTTATTGATTGACTGATTGGTCGGATGAGAACGTTATTTCATACGGCGTTGGAAATAAAATATAAGGAAGTATACAAACTAACAAAAGAGTAACAGCAACAGAAGGCGCCAAGACAGGAGTGGAAAGATGGACAAAAAAAAAAAGTAAATAAAACAAGAAAAGAAACCAAAGAAACACACTTAAATCACATCCGCTCCCAATGACATTTATGATCTATACTCTTCGAGACGGATGGCACTCTTCTTTTTGTTTGGGCATTCTTTTCGGTCAGCGTCAACCCCAGGCCCAAACATGCACTGGAATGTATATATGCATTCTAGAGGGGGAAGGGGGAGGGGGGGGGGGGGGGGGGGGGGAAACACCAAGATCGGTATAATTTCGGATTTTAATATCAAAAGCCTTAAAGAAAGCCTTCTCCCCACAGTGATAAAAGATAGGTGATGTCAAGGAAAACATGGAACACCAGGCTAAAATGAGACGGAGAATCGCTGAACAGGAAGTGGATAGATGTTGTTGGGAGATATGGGTATCAATGCAAGAGGTTGGGAAAATAATGAAAAGATGTTAGGGGCTAGTCGAATAGTCGAAGTGATCCGGAGCTGAAGGACAATGGAGATAGGGGGGAGGGGAGGAGAAGGAAAAGAAGTAAAAAGGAGGCTTTTAGGAAGTACTAGGTTCTTTCAAGAACAGGGCAAGCCGCTTGTAATCTTCGAGTAGCTCGGGAATATCGCTCATTTTAAGCTCTCCAGCATCCGACATTTCCAAGAATCGCTTGATTGGAGGTTTAAATTCGGCGGTGTTGATGATGTTTGTGCTCGTGGTAGTCTTCTGTGGAGCGGGAGTGCTAGAGCGGCTTGATATAGACTCTGCTGTTTTTGGCTTGTCTGTGGTTAACACAGTGTCGTGAGAAGGGTCAGGTGCGCTTCGCCCGAACCCACGGATCATGCCTGGAATGTGGTTTAAAGGATTTAAGGTATTGCCGATACTCTTCATTGACCCAAATGGCGGAGCCGTTAGTTGGTTTGCGGGGTAGGAGAAAATCGATCCAGAATTAGGTGCGGCGGGAGTGGATGTTTCTCTGCTGGAGGAGATAGCTTTTGACCCACTACCGCTGTTCCCCGAGCTACCCGTGCTATTCTGTCTGGATAACATTCGCCCACCGATAAGCCCGAGGAGCCTATCTTCAGCTTTCCCGCTGCTGTCGGTTTCGTCTAAAATTGGCGAGGTAGTGACCAACCGCCGAGCATCATCCAGAGTTTTTGGAACAAGCGTAGATATCCCATTCGGCTCCCCGTTTTGTCTGCTTTGAACTTCCCTCAAGCGGCCAAAGAGAAAGTTGAAGCTATTATCAAGTGTGTTGCTGATATTTTTGAATCCCTGGTCAGCAGTGTTTCTAACAGCGTCATTGGCAGCACCAAGAACTTTAGCTGAAGGTTGAAGGAGGTTAGTGAGACGCCGCTGTGGCGAAGGATCGCCTTCATTTGACATCAACCGCCGCCCTGAATCCGATTTTCCCACTTCAAACGACAGTTGAGAAGCGGTCGAAGAAGGCGAAATTGTTGAAGGGCTCTTGCTTGTTGGCGCATCATGCCGGATAGAGGTGGGGTTAGAAGCGACCCGAGGAGAGTTCAATGCACCGTCTTGTGTTTGGTCTGTTTGTAAACTGTTTAGGTCCACATTCTCTAGGAAGCTGATGGCTGCTTCTAGGTTAGTCAAGCAGTACGCTGCTTCGCCATCGAGTCTACTTGATGCTCTAAAGCGCTGAATGAACAGTAGGTTACTTATAATGTTGATGCCTTCCGCTGGTGTAGTTATTAGGATGTATATCAGGGTCGGTAATATTTCGTCAGCAGAAGAGGATGACGGAAGAACTATTGTCAATGTATCGACGATAGCCTTGTGGGCAGCAGTAAGATGATGGAGTTTGCCTAAGGGGAATTTTTCATCGTTCATTTTGATTAAACTTTCTCGGGCAGAGGTTAGGAATTTTGACGCTTCAGATTCTTCGGATCCGTCCAAATCCCAAGCCTTAATCCCCAGGTCCTTGAGTCCAATACCAACAAGTGCTAATGCCGCTGTCTTGGAACGCAGTTTCTCGTCTCTGACTTCATCCAAAGAATTTTTGTGGCGCCAGATCTTGTCGTATACAGCTTCACAGGCCCGCCGCTCGACTGCCTCCTCGAGGGCGTGGCCTTTGTATTGTAAAATCTTGCGGGCTCTCCGTTTCTCTGCCACCTCTTCCGCTGTCAGCATTTGCTGGTCAGTAGTAAGCTTTTCAGAGCCCTTTGATTGATCTTTGGACAAGGGATCACGTTGAATTTTCCCAGAAATTTGAGGAGGGGAAGGAGATGAGAGAGTTTCGCGGTGCAAACGAGAGGCCAGCGTCGAAATATGGGTTGATATATGCGCGGCGGCACGCACATAAAAGTCTTGAAAGAGGCCCGAAAGCTTATCTATGGAGGGTGGAGTTGAGTACACTTTCGCGCTGAGAGAGGCAATAAACCTGAATAGATAATAGATAACTATTAATTGCGTGGCTACCTTTGAGATCTAGAGATCTATCACTAACCTATCAGTCAAGCTAGCTAGCTCTATGGGAAGCTCAAAGTGGTCCGCCGGATATGGCAGCTGGGAATGGGAGGCATCAGGCTTGCCGAGTAGCCGCCCATCCGCCAAATCTATCGAGTCTCTTTTCGCAAAAAGATCTGATTCTCCATATAGAGGGTCTGGGTCCAAAGGTGTAAGAGGAGAAGTCTCTGCTTCCACGTCCTGAGTTAAAATCCCCTGCACTGCCTTTGCGCGGTTTCGAGGAAAGGAGCTGGATGATGTGTCCTCCATACGGGAGAATGATTTTGATGTCTGGGCCCCGACTAGCCGCGGAGTGGAATCAGCGGACATTTTGTCGGGCTACATGTATTATAAGTTGATGGGAATTCCAGAATTCTGTTAAAACGAAGTTGCGAATCACAATGCCATGGTGAGCGTAACGGGAAATCGAGTACAGATTAGATGCTAGGCATCGACTTTTGAGCTGATTGGTGGTAAACAGAAGGCAGGGCGGCTGTCATTAGGCCATATCACAAGCTTTCGGTCCTTCAGCCAGCTGATGTCCGGCAGAGATTGTGTGCTACTCTGCCTAAGAGTTGCGAAGAAGTTGATTGACGTGGTTTGATGCGCAATAACGGTTCCAGGGTTTCAGAACAGGTCACCTGATTGCTCAGCTCCAGAGCTATTAAAAGAACAGTAGTTAAGAGGAGAGAGCAGTAGTTTAATGAATACTGCCAGTGGTAAAACAAATTAGGATAAGAAGAACTATTGCTATTGTTCAAATGAAGATACAATGGAGGTGACCAAAAGTCAAGACATACACTGGAACGGTTATATGGAGAAGATTATCCAGGATGCGTAGAAAGCCAACTAAGGTGGCAAGCCCTTGTGGTTGTGGTATCGAATTGAGAATCTTCAATAAAAAGGAACTGCTGTACAAAGACAATCATCGCCCACAATTAAAACAGAATGTCAGCTCAGAATCAATTATCAACAAGTTTCCCTGTGGGATAAAAGCGAAACATGATGCCGGGAATTGTTATCTCACTACTCCGTACAGATCTGTATGGAGTTCGTCTGGTGTAAGGTTCCAAGGTTGCTATCTTGTTCGTCCCGTGACTTGGGTTTGGATTAGCTATCACCCAGAAACACTTTCGGCGGTTTCGCCTTGGGGACATGATTAAAACTCCATAGTAGGTGACTTGTTGAAGGTGTTGCTTTATCCTCCTCACATCCTATCCTATGCCAACCCTATGTTGGTTGGAGAATGTATTAGTATGTATTAGTCATATGTGAGTGTATTTTAAATGGCCTTGGAATGGCTTGGCGAAACTCCGAAGTTTGGCCTGGATCTTTCCAACCGCCTGGGATCCCAGCATCACTCTACAGCAGCTCACTAGCTGCGGCGTGGATTCTTTACTTCCTCAAGGGTTTCAATAGCTAACTAGATATAAGAAATCACGTATCGGGAACTCCAGCGTCATCGCTGCACGCCGCTCTCTTCTAGGATCCGTCAACACCTCTTCCCAACGCTTCCGTCTGGCTGAACAAATAATCTTGTATGGCCGGCAGCAGCACCGTTCACCCGAAAAAGCTATCTGTTATCGATATCTATTTTACAATATGCGACCATTTAGATGGAGAAGAAAGAAACGGTCAACCGGGTCGAATATGATGGGGCTTGATCTTCTGGTCTCCTTGCTTGCATTATCCGTATCACCCTGCATCGCCGCTACTCGAAGTCCTCTCCAAATCCCCGTCCTAGACACTCAACCTATTGAAACAGGTCGTGAATTTGTGAGTTTTTTGTGGTGGTAGCCATTATTGCTAAGAGCGAAAAAGTCGCTAATATTGTTTACATTTCCCTAGACATTACGACATATGTTGCATCATGGAACGTACCGAGATCCTCTCCTGCATAAGCGACTTGACATCAGGCCTGATACTGTGCTATGGGCTGCCTCAGAAAATGGTGAAAAAAGGGAATCGGTTCCTCGGTTTCGCGTTTCTTCAAGACCTATCAATATCCACCGTCTCTCTGATCGTCATGTTTCCGTCGTTGAAGATTATCTCTCAACCGCCAGAATGACAAGCTCTCCAGTAACACTCTCATCAGATTATTGGACTCTGGACGAAGTAGACGCACCTGATGTGACAGATAAAGAGACGGTGCTTTCATTAGCTAAAATGACCTCCAACGCTTACATCATGATTCCGGGATCAGGCGAATGGTTTGATGTTTTCCCTCCTTTCAACCATTCAGACAGCTTCGGATGGGACTCTGATGGACTGAGAGGCCATATTTACTCAGATAATACAAACTCTACAATCGTGGTTGTGTTGAAGGGTACGTCTGCGGCCATTTTCGATGGCGGCGGGACGACAACCAACGACAAGGTTAACGACAACTTGTTTTTTAGTTGTTGCTGTGCCCAAGGTGGGCATTACTTTTGGCGACAAGTCTGCGACTGTTACTCGTCTACATATACTTGTAACACAGCTTGCGTCAGGAAAGCTCTAAGACAAGAAAACCGCTATTATCGAGCTGCCCTTAATCTTTACTCCAATATCACTGCAATGTATCCCGAATCAAATATCTGGGTTACGGGACATTCACTGGGTGGTGCCGTTTCAAGCCTGCTAGGGATGACATACGGATTGCCCGTGGTCACGTTTGAAGCTGTGCCAGAAGCACTACCTGCTTCACGCCTTGGACTGCCTCCGCCTCCTGGAACCGATCCATCTTCACCCCAGGCAAGGAATTACACTGGTGCCTACCATTTTGGCCACACTGCCGATCCCATTTATATGGGAACGTGTAACGGCGCAACGTCTGTATGTACACTTGGCGGCTATGCTATGGAGTCCTCTTGTCATACTGGCCAATTGTGCACTTACGACACAGTGGAAGATTTCGGTTGGAGAGTTGGAATCGGGACACACCGAATCCATGAAGTAATTACAGATGTTATTGAGAGATACGATGACGTGCCTACATGTGCCCCGTTCACAGAATGCGTGGACTGTAACAACTGGAAGTTTTTCGAAAGCAACGAAACGACACCTACGCCCACTACCACCACTACGAGCACTTCAACCAGAACGAGAACGTCAACTTGCAAGACTCCCGGGTGGTGGGGATGTTTGGATCCAACCACGACTCCTACTACAACAGCGACAACGTCGACAACGTCTACATCGACCTGCAAAACTCCCGGGTGGTTCGGCTGCAAGGATCCTACCACAACAAGTACAGTACCTACTGCGTCTCCCGCGCCTACGATTACTCCGACCTCCCCTCCAACGACTACTGCTTCCACGACTTCAACTTGCGAAAGCCCTGGCTGGTTCGGGTGTAATGATCCAACGAGTACCACGACCTTCCCTGCTCCAAGCACGACATCGACCAGCACTCCTTGTTCGACTCCTGGATGGTTCTGGGGCTGTCGTGATCAAACCACTACAACATCCGCAAGCCCTCCTATCACATCCCCACCCTAGACCTTTCTGCCCATACATGTGTCCCCAGAACATTTATGGGACTGATCTGACTGATCTGTCTAGATCCCCACTCCAACTGATTCATTGACGTCACCGTGTTGTCGCTGATAGGCATTGCGAAGGGGACAACAGGATTTTTCGGGTGATCGGAACCTCATTGGCATCGGAACAGAACAGGCTAACAGACTACCTTCTGTCGGGCATACCTAATTATTTCTCATGACGATACGTTGTTTTTCTATGCTAGGCCATTTTCAGTTTGCTATTTCTTTTACTTTCAACTTAGGAGCGGGAAATCTAGCAGTTGATTTTTTCTACTTTTGGCAACATATATTATTTATACTTAAGGGATGAACCGGAGTTTGTTTGTCTTTTTGGCCTATCTTAATATCCTTTGGAGCAAGATTTAATTAATTAGATACTTGGGCTCTTTTGAAAATTCGATACTGCTACATGTAAGTAGATTGTCTAGATAGTTAGCTATTTCTTTTGTTTGATAGGCAGGCTTGCCCGGGGGGGGGGGGGGTGTTGGTCGGCCTGCAGGAGAAGCGCCTAGAATGTGTCAGGAAAGCCTAACATATTTGGTTCATTTCACTGAAACCTTCCCTCACCCCGGTTGGAGTTTGAGGATAAACTGTTTTGAATTTTTTTTGTTTTTGTTTTTCTTTTTTGGGATTTTGGGCACTGCCTTTTCCGCATGGACGGCATTAGTGTGTCAACAAATAAAATGTTCTAGTTACATTTGCAAGACTCTCCGTAGATTCAGATTCAGATTCAATATAAATATATTCAAGAATACTGACAATATAGCTCAAAACAGCTCGTGGGAAGCTCTCATCGATTATCTGAACCAGGGGTGCAAGAGCCTAGAACTAGATTTATTGTAATTTTTTATATATTTTATTTATTTTTTTTTTCTCTTCTTTTCTCTTCTTCTTTTTTTTTTTTTTTTGACATGGAGGTAGAAAATATCCTCTAATAAGTCACGAGGCCAGATTGACTTTTTGAGAATACAATTTCGTCCGATAAGCTCTGGTCTCGTGTGCGAGAAAAGGTACACAGCGGTCGCTTGACAAAAAAAAAAAAATGATGTAGAGAGGGGAGAATGAGGCTGAGTATTATTGTGCTGGATGTTTAGATATAGATGTAGGTCCATAGCTACTTTGGCTAAGGGAATGACAAGTCAGTGTATGTCAGGTAGATCTCACCTGTTGGTCTGTATCTCTGGATTATGATAACTCTATCTGGATGGCCAGCACGGGTACACGGAGCACGTTCCGAGCAATCTGCGTGAAGTTCGGCAGTGCCCCTTTGAATGCCTCTGGAAATTGGTTGTTTCTTCCCCGTACGATGTCCTGAGACTGTCGCACAGCCACAACTCCTTCCAACGCGCGCTGACAGCTTGACAGCCAGGCAGTACGTATTCAGGAACAGGAATGAGTGAGGGTGTCAACTGTGGAGAGCTGAGTGTGGCCCGTCCGCGCCCTGGTAGCGACAGGCGGTTGGGACAGCTCTCCCATGGCTCGGTGCCAGATATAGTTAGTTTCGAGGGCCCACAGCTCCGTTTCTGGCCATCAGCGTCAATCGCCTTAACCTGCCTGGGGATCGCCGCAGCTTGTCATTCCCCATCCGACGCACTATAAGGCGCTAGGACGGGTCTAATGCAACTCATCTGCCCACCTGCAACATTAAATCATTGCCCCTTGCAGAACCTGAGAGCCCCAATGCGGCGCCATTTTGCCTCTTTGGGATTGCTGCGGAGGGGGTTTTTGGCATTTTGGGCTTCTCCATGCGTGCGGCGCTGGGAATGGTTCAAGGGCTTTTGGGAAGCATGCGCTATTGTTTCTTGGACAGTTTCCGCAGTTGCGTGTCGAATTCTTATAATAACTTGCGCAACGCGTCCAGTTTCCTTGGACCATCATCGACGAGTCCGACAGTCTCTGAAGAAGTGTGGCGAAGAGTATGCAAATTCACTCTTCAAGGTTTCGTGCCTCCTGTTGCTGATTTTCGACTGGGTTTGAAACACCCGCTATGCTATGAGAAAGGGTCCATTTTCATTTACCATCAGGGATATTGCGTTTCATATGCAAAGTTCGAGCCCCCCTTCCCCGAATCCCCGGACACTAGCTCAGCAGTGTGCACTGGATTTATCAACTTCCTTGCTAACTCCATGGATAGGTTGGAAATTCCGAGACACCAAAGATTATTTTTTTTTGTCCTTTGTGTGGCCGATAGCAATTGCATTCGTGCTCGTCTTTTGAGATATCTAAATCACGACATTGGGGCGAGCATTTTTCAGATTTTTGACCGCGATTGTGGGGGCATGACTAAGTACCTGCCCGTCACTTCCGGACGTTGACGATTTTCAAAGTATATTTTGCGAAAAGAGTAGGCGAAGTCGTTTTATCCTCCTGTACATTCTTACTTCTGAAGAATTGCGACTTTTTGTCCGCTGCTCTTATCTCTATATCTACAGCCGGCCAGTATGGAAATTGCATTTATCACAATTCTTGGCAAGTTCCTAACTTCTTCTCCATATTCTTTAATTCCTCTCTAGGTGTATAGAGCTAACGTTTCCTCTAGATCTGACGCCGGCCGCTAGAGTAAAGTATACATCTGCGTCCGTTCAGGATATACTCGGCTACACCAACAATGAAGTGGTTGGCATGTCCCTTTGGGATTTCGTTCATCCGCTTGAATTCTCGTTCGCAAAGCAGATCCATACCCAGAGCATCAGGCATGACATTGCTGCTGGATTGAGTTACTTCCAGATTAAGCACAAGCTTGGTCACTGGGTTGGGGTCGAATGCGTATTCAACGTGGTCTATGATGTTTTAGTAGCAAGCACCAGCATCTATCAGAGGGGATTAAGAAGTCAAAGTGAGTTGAGACATATTCCCCTGGACGCATTTCGACAAAAATTGTAAGTAATGAAACTAAATTCTGGGACGCACATCAGAGAGGGCAACCGACGCTCCAGCTGTCAGACGGCTATTTTGGTCACCATCACAATTCGACCCACGATATAGCATGCTCTCATATATTTCGAGCAAATTTTCGCCAGTTCCACAGATCCTCTCACATGAGCCGCGCGCGGCTTTATTCTTAAACCGATTTACCCGGTCTTCGAACATCATGTATGCGACAAGTGGCGTAGCTCGCGTCCTTGGGCTGAGGCCGGCGGATCTCGTTGGTAGGAGCTTTTACTACTGCATAGAGGAGTGTAGTCTGCATGAGGCCGTGAGGTGTATTGAAGGGGTGAAGTCGAATGACACGATTTCGTATCTCCGGTTCTGGTTCCGAAATCCATTGCTGGGCGAGAATAGCGCGGATGACCACGCGGAATATGGAAGCGAACACAAAGTTCAAGAGGAGGAGGAGGGTGATGATAATGATGTTGAAATGCGAGATGAAACCTGTGTCGACTCACGAAACATCCTGAACAATTGCAATATCACGGACAATAATACCAATTTCTCACGATCACTGGGCGATATCCAGACGACCACAACCAACAGCAACAGCAACAACAACCTCCATAGACCACGAATAGAAATCGAAGCAGTAATATCCTGTTCCTCCGACGGCCTCGTTGTCGTGCTGCGACACGCGCGGCCAGTAATTCCACCCTCTCTCGAAAATATCAGCTACTATTCAGCTTACCTCCCCGCATCACCATGGGACACCGATTCCACAATCCCAGTCCAACAAGCAGACTCCAGCGAGCCACCAGAATCAATTCCATCGTCCCTCAGAGGGCCTGAGCAAGGAGAGCTGATGGATACTATTCGCGACGTCGCAGTCCTTGCATGGGCGTCAGGCGTGAAATGAGGCTATTCGCTGTTTTCGCAAAGTTGCGGAGGAATTGGACTGAACATAATTTCCCCTTTTACGATCTTTGCATTTTCAGGAGTACACATCCCCGTCCCTTCTGTTTGGTTTTACATGTTTATTGTGCGACCATAGCTCTCTCTTCAATACCGCCTCGGCCGTTGGCATTTCCCCTGTCTCCGGGTTTAATTCTTCCCACTCTGACATCAAATTTCATAGCATAGTAGAGCAAACCGCTCTCTACCTGTATAATCCCGACATGTTTCATGTACAACACATCACATCACTGGCGTTGTTCTACTCATAATCCCGGTTTATTTTTCGTTTTTCGTTTTTCGTTTTTGTACGATAACCGTTTGTGCTCGCTATTTTTGGAATAATCAATATAGACCCGATATCCAAGTCCGTTGAATGTTAGTTCTGATGTTGGGCCAAGAAAATCTCCTTCTAGAACACATAGACATGCATGTTCCTCCCAAAAAAAAAGAAGACGTCATCCGCATATTAGAAGGTTTCCCGTTTACTTTGAAGTCTCACTACTCTCCCCTGAGCCTGTGTGGCCATCTACCATCTATCGTAATTGAGTAAAACACGCTTCCTCACACAGTTGACCGCGAGGAGGATTTTCTACGGTAACATGCTTTGTCAGGTGTATTATTTTTCTAGGTGGGTTCATACTATTGTTGGATAGTATTTAAATTATAGTTGAGCGCGAGTTTGAAGTTGGCCATTGAGTTTAAAAAAAAGTGATCCCGATTATATATTAAGTTACAGATCCGAATGAAGATGAGCTTGATTGACTCGGTTAAACATGCCTCGGAAGAAGCCTATGATTCTATATACTCTGCAAAGCCCTGGAGGTGCTTGGGAGCGATGTATCAGTTACAGAGGGGCATACCTCCGTGGCATGAACTGGCAGATGGTGAAATGGATGAAAACATGCAAACTATATCTTAAGATAGGGGCCCCCACCTTAAGGATTGATCCTTTTGACGTGGGTGGGAAAAATTCCCGCACAAGATCCAAATAACGAAAGGTTTAGCCGCCCTGACGACTGGCCATGGATATCGTACCTGCTCCTACTGTACCTAGGTAGGGTCCATCCCAGCTTGAGAATAAGTTTCGAGATCTCGGACACCACATTACAAATTCAAACCATGTTCAACTTCTTACCGGCAGCGTCAGATCTATTAAACTGGATATTCTTCTAAATAGCTGACAACGATTAGCATATATTTACATATATATCAAGAAAAATATAATTGCAATGTCAGGGGATTTTGCAAGGTCTTAAAAAGGAAGATAGAAAGGGAGCTAAACCGTAACACACGCAATCCCTGAGGAAGGTTTCACAATCCTTCAGGCAGCCACCTATTCCTCAAGAGAGAGAGATATATATATATATAGGTATATGCATAAACTCTATCGAGCTCTAATCATCTTGATGATCAGCATTTGCTGTGACTAGAAAATTTGATTTCCATTTCTATCCATGGTCAACTTGTTTCTAACCACGGTCAACCAGAACCCGCAAGAGGCCTTACGTCTATTAGACTTAGTAGACCGTGTGAATATGTGGCGTTAGGGATTAACTCCTAGCGACTACAGCGTAAACAACCATCATGGAGTTTGTGCCTGCAAACTTGGCCATCAAGCTTCGATGAAACCAAAGGAACACGACAGCTTTCCTCCAGCAAAAAGCAGTGATTGTCCGGCGCTACAAAATTGCAGTTCCAAGCCGTGGTCAATAACTTAACGAAGAACCGTGGACTTTTTATGCGCAGGAACTGCTAGTAACTAACAGTTCCATCAACAATGTACGCAGGATACAAACGACGTTGCGTCGTGTTGACTAGCCGCCCTCTCATTGGCCAAAGCTCGTCCTCTGCACCCTCACCCGCAACACAACAACGACGACGATGTTGCTGCACATGCTGGCGATATCCGCTCCCATTCGATAAGCACCATCCGGTCCTGATGGTGGTACCAAGCTGCTCAACTCACGGCGGGTGATCTCCGCTCCTGATGCAGAAGTGACAGCCGACGCTTCATCCTCAACGAACCCCACGACTAGAGGTGCTGTAAGTTCAAGTTACTACGAGCAGTAACCATGGCCGGATTCGCGATACCACCCAGATTGGCATTTTCGCGGGCGATTTCCATGTAGCCAACTCGGGCCAGGCCAGGGTGCGCTAAATTGGAATGGGCATCAGTGGAGTTTGCCCGCATGTGTGGCCTTGATAGGACCGGAGGGGTCAGTTGCTACCACGGGTATCCTTATCTCGTTATCAAGAGGGGTGTGGGTGAGGGGGCGGATTCTCACTCCGTCGAACCCCCCGCAAATAATAAGTATGCGGCGGTGGAAGCACGTTGCTGCTCCTTCGCTGTCTTCATTTCTGTTCACACTTCAATTGCCTTCCGAAGACATCAAGCATGTCTACCATGATGCCCTTCCTTGGCTCCGGCCGCAACGGCTGGAGTCTTCCGCATTTACAGATCGCGGCTGCTGCCGTGTTTGTCGTTGCCCTTGTGTCTTCCGTACTGCTATTTGTTTTGCGCAAGCCGAAGATGAAACACGATAGCGCCATTTACACCTACTTCAAATTCTTCTACGCCAGTTTTGTGAAGCCCCATGAGTCCCATGGCCAAGGCGACCAACAGCGTGCTTTGGAGAGTTTCTACAAAACTCAGGTATTGACGGCCATAATTACCACATTTCTTAGCCCCTCCGACTTATATATATATGTTAACTCGTTGTGCAATAGGCCGCGGTATACGATGCAACCCGAAAACGACTCCTTCGAGGGCGCGAAGATATGCTAGGTCTGTTGGCAGCGCAATTGAAATGCAAGCAGCAGTCAGGACGGAAGCAATCGCCAAAGCCAATATGGGTTGATGTAAGTACTGCGTCGTAGAGTAGCTTCAGATCTAGTAACGTATTTACTAACAAACTAGATTGGTGGAGGGACCGGGTATGCCCCGGCTTTATCAGATTTAAAACATGAGATTTTCCCTTCCTGTTGACAGTTAGTCAGATACAATATCGAGGCGATGGCGGCCTTTCTCCCAGTGGAATCATTTTTTGCTCATGTTTACCTCGTCGACCTCTCTCCCTCACTCTCCGAGATCGCTCGTCAGAGGTTCAGTCGACTTGGGTGGAAGAATGTTTCGGTGGTCTGCCAAGATGCGCGGGATTTTCGTCTTCCGAGCCGTACAAGTGACGAGCTCGTCAGTTCCGACAACAAGGTCAACAAGTTACGTCCAGCAACTGGCAGGGCGGATCTAGTCACGATGAGCTACAGCCTGTCGATGATACCTGGTATTTTCTCTATTCTAATGCTATTCGCTAAAAAGACCATCACATTTGACACAATATCTGTTTGAATTCCTAGATTACTACAGCGTTGTGGACTCTTGTACATCTTTATTGGGCCCGTCAGGAACCATTGGTGTATGCGACTTTTATGGTATGCTTATCCAGCTAAGAGCGTTACAGTTCGGTTTCTGACCTTTGAACAAACTAGTTCAGAGCATCGTCGACTTGGCGTCTCGAAACTATACCGGCGGAGTGTTCAATCGACATGTGAACTGGGTCGGAAGAGCATTTTGGCGGTCGTGGTTTGACGCTGATCGTGTTGCACTGGATGGCGCTCGTCGCGATTATCTTGAGTATCGGTTTGGCACAGTTATATCAGCTAGCGCAAGGAACTATCTTCTCGGTGGTATTCCTTACTATATTTTCATCGGATGCCAGAAAGAAATATATGGCAACCAGCCAAACCCCAGCAGCAAAGAAATAGTCGAGAAACTCGATGCTGCCTACACAGAATCCCCGTACCTCGCTCCAGCAAACCACCGCAAAGATGTATCAATGGCATTAGAAAAGCAAGTTGCTGAAATCAGATCCAAAGCCTACGAATCAGCCGTCATCAACCTAACCACGAATTTACCCTTGCCTTCTTCGTTCTATCAAAATCACCACTGGAGGATATATTATAACGATATGTTAACAAAACATACTCAGTTCGGGAATGAATACATCTACGCATTTACCTGGGAGGACCCCCGTGTGGACAATCGTTTATTAAATATTGGCAGTGACGATGTTATTCTGGCCATAACAAGTGCGGGTGACAACATCCTTGACTATTTACAATATAACCCCCGAAGAGTGCACGCTGTCGACCTCAACCCTACCCAAAACCACTTACTAGAGTTGAAGGTAGCGAGTTTTACCGCATTGGGTTACCGCGACTTCTGGAAGATATTTGGAGAGGGTAAACATCCTAACTTCAGAGAGTTATTAATCTCGCATCTCAGCCCCCACTTGTCTAGCCATGCCTTCCAATATTGGCTAGATCACTCCAATTCGATTAGCGCACGGTCCGGGGTGGGCTTGTATGAGACGGGAGGTTCTAGATATGCGATAAAGATGGTCCGCTACCTGTTTACAATCTTCGGACTTTCCGCAGAAGTGAAAAGGCTCTGCGAAGCACAGACATTGGACGAACAACGAAAGATATGGCCCCGAATCCGCCGCGTTCTGATGAGCAGACTATTGCATTGGGCTGTGGTTGGCACCGAGTGGTTCGCATGGAAGGCTGCGGGGGTTCCCGCTGCACAAAGGAACATGATAATCACTGATTTTCTCAATAGAAGTGGGCTTGCTGGGGGTGTGAAGAAAGATACCGAGGTTAGCGGCCAGGCTATCTGGGAATATGTGGTCAATACCTTGGATCCTGTTGTTAAGGACACTCTGATCAGCAACGATAACTACTTCTATTACCTTTGCCTCCAAGGTCGATATTCGAGAAGGTAGGAGTGAACCTTCCCCCACCCACCATCCGCGACTAAGAGCGCCCTTGGTATATGTCCAAAACGCAATCACTGAAGTACAGCAGATGTCATCCAAGCTATCTAACTCCCAAAGCCCACATGAAGCTTTCTACGCCACATGCTTTTGACGGGCTCCGAATCCATACCGACGAGATCAACGAAGTCATTGCAAGAATCACACCAGGCACCCTTACGATCGCGGTCGTAAGTTTTAGCTACTCGCGTGCTCCCCCGCCAAATTACTAACATCTGCTAACGTGCTAATATTATGTAGGTGATGGACTCGATGGACTGGTTCGATCCCGCGAAGGAAGATGCGTCGAAGCAGGCACGGGCGCTGAATAGCTCCCTTAAAATGGGCGGCCGCATCCTTCTTCGATCAGCCTCAATTCAGCCTTGGTATATAAAGAATTTCGAGGAAAATGGCTTCACTGCACAGCGTGTCGGTGCTAGATTTCCTGGATCATGCATCGATCGGTGAGTCGATTCAATGCTCGCTGTTTCAATCAATATATCTTTGAATGTATCTAACTGTGGTAAATACTAACGGTAACTGATACCAGAGTAAATATGTACGCTTCAACGTGGATATGCAAAAAGACCAAAGACATCGCTCCTCCCCATCCTGTCACATGTGCCACCTCTCCCTTGACGCTGGAGAGGACGAATTCCGCCTCAAGTAGCATGGATGATCTTGAAATTTAGATCAGGAGGTAGAGTGTCGTATTTCAAAAGATGGAGTTCCTTCTCCTTTTTTCTAAGTTTTAGATTTATATACACATACATATCTACGAGGCTCAATGTTTTCTCTTCTGGAGAAACATGATTTATGACTTGGAGGGTCTTTCGCCTTTCTTGGTGGTCTATCTTTTATACTGCATGTTAATAAATAATACCTCCGGCTGTACAGGCTATCTTGGAGACCGCCTAGTCGAATGTATTTTCACCAATGTTGTCAAACTCAAAATATCACAACCATCCATATCTCCAGCTTTCAGCCGAGATGTAAAAAATTGATGACGTCTATCTCATATTGCTTCTAAGGTCACACACAATTTCCCTAAAACAAGCGCAACTAGTTCGTTTACCGAGTCTTTTAACGACTAACTTTCCTGATAACCCTTCTAGACCCAATCCTTAAACTCCCATCCCCCCAAGAGAAGTAGGCATCTTTACCATGAGCGGGATCTCAACATCTTCAGGCTTCCCAATGATCTCCGCTTTGTGAACCAATCTCACATGGGACAAGCGCTCGAATCCCATGTGCTCGTAAAGATGAAATCCCACCTCAGATGACTCGGTGTATATCGGGAGGGCGAGCTGGTTGGCAAGGTCAATGCCCCATTGAATAAGCAAGCGGCCCGCTCCACCACGCTGGTGATCCGGATGCACTGCGACTGCAGAAAGATCTTTCCCCAACGCCAATGTCAATTTTGGACATCCCTATTATCATTATTGCCAACCGGTAGAACAATATCACTTACAGATATATCTGCGCCTGCCAAACAAATCCACTCTGATGTCCCACATGGGTCCCAGAACACTCATACATCGCTCCTTTTCCTCACCCTCCAACCAAGGAATGCCAGCAGGCCGCTCCCACCCGTTCTCCTCTCCCGGGCGCCAAAATATATCCCAGGAAGCCATGCCAACAATGTTCCCTGTGTCCGTGTCGACGCACTTCACGATGTGCGTCGTTTTGTCCTGCTGCGACCATTGGATTGTCCCCTCCCTATGGGCCTTGCGATCCACACCGCGTGGATAGAGGAAAGGCATGATCGGCTCATCTTCGAAGGCGGCGAAGAACACGTCGTAGACCTGATCGATCTCGGAAAGGAGAGCGGGAAAGACCACGAGCGGCATTTTTTACTTTTTTTCTTCTCCTATGCTGGCGTTGGTGTCTTGCTCAAACAATACGAGCACTTCTATACAACCAGATGCTATCATTGAAAGGGCTGAGAGTGGGTTGTTGGGGTGGAACATGAGAAACTCTCACGCCACCTGCCGGGTTACTACGTTCCTGCAGAGGACTATGCACGGTGTGATAATGGGATTGCGACAGGGGGTTGAAAATTCCGAGCTCCGCTGACGGCTGCTAAATTTACAGGGGTCTGGGCTGCAATACGCAGCGTAATGCGTACATAGGTGACAGGAGGCATGTAACTGTCCGAAGTGACCACCTAAAAGACAGTCACAGTAGCGGCCTTCCTAGGGATGGCTGGGGAGTTTCTTGAATCCATCAATCCAGCCAGCCAACCCGCCCGTTTTGAGTGGATGCTGTGGTTGAATTTTTTCGGCGTGATCAATCTGATAAGATCAGGGAGGGGCTCGTGGCGGCTCTAGCGCTGCCAAGCCCCACTTTATCAGATTGATAAGATTGGATTACGGCTGCCAGGGCTTGGCATCCGAGGATTCCCGCTTCCACGCTCTGGGTGCGACGTCGCTGCGACATGCGAGCGCGGAGCTGCTACGGCCGGGCGACGGAGGTGACGGAGGGATGGCGGATTCGCAACTGATAAAGACCCCCGATGGCCCTTCGTTTTTGTGCTTCTCTGCCCAGCTTTGAACGGTCCGCCCAAGTTCGCACTTTTTCTGCCATACTTTGCTTGCCCCGCTAGCTAGTTACGAGTACGCCTTGACAGCTCCCTACCCATAATGACAGAGACACAGCCCACCCTCAATGGGCTCGCAGCCAAGATCTCTGAGCTTGCAGGAACCTTGACCAAGTTCCTGCAGGAGAAGAATATTCCGGCGCCGACTTTCGCAGCGAATAGCCCCACCAGCTACGTGGGCTTAACGCCAGAGATTTTCATGATACGACAAGGGCTTGTGGACGCATTGAATGATATGTGGTACCTGACACAGGGTCCAAGTGAAAGTATTTTCAACTACGTTCACACGGTTAGAAGTCCCAACCTGGCGAAGAGTCCTTTTTTTTTTTTTTTTTTTTTTTTTTTTTTGGTTTGCTTGAACTATCTGGGCAGCAAAAGTCTGACGTGAACAGGCCATGCCAGATGCCGCCGCGCTCAATACTCTGAATTACTTCGACTTCTGGTCTGCTGTGCCGGTTGAAGGCTCTGCTTCCTATGCCGATATTGCGAAACACACATCCCTCCCTGAAGATGTGGTTCATCGCATCTTGCAACATGCAATGACGCTTCGGATTTTCTCTGAGACCGAGCCCGGAAAGCCCTCGTCCCGCGTGCAGCACACGTCGCGCTCGGCTGCGCTCGCCCGTTCTTCAGGATTAAAGGCTCTTGTCTCAACAATCCTGGACGATGCAGGCGCACCTATGATGGTCATGAATGAAGCGCTGGCGAGATATAACCGCGGGAAGCCCGCGCTGACGCAAGAAATGAATGAGTCTGCCTTCGCTTTGTTCCATAGGAGCGGTATATATGGCAACTATAGCAACTCCTGGGAGTTCCTGGAAAACGACGGCGAGGGAGAGAAAAAAGGTTGGCGGGCAGCGAATTTCGTGGAGTTTATGCGTTACGTGAAAGAAATCTTCCATCTGGAAGAAGTGGTACTTCAATCCCATGATTGGAAGGCGGAAGGAAAAGCAACGGTGGTAGATGTGAGTGGCTTCTTGGCCCATCCCCTCCCCCAAACTCCTATTGGACTGCGTCACTATGAATGGCTATTTCCATGACGAGGTTTCGCAGAGCGCAGCCAGCTGACACTGTACTCCACAGGTGGGTGGCTCCGCTGGCCATGACGCCGTAGTTTTAGCACGGAACTTCCCAGATCTCAACGTCATAGTCGAGGACCTGCCGAAGGTCAAACCTGTGTTCGATGCAGAGCTACCAGCGGAGTTCAATACACGCGTGTCGTTTGTCGTGCACGACTTCTTCCAGCCGCAACCCGTCCAGGCCGACATTTACGTTTTCAAAATGATCCTGCACGACTGGCCGGACGATGAGGCGGCGAGGATTCTGCGTGCTTTGGTTCCCGCCCTGAAGCCCGGCGCGCGTGTCATCCTCTTCGAATACATGGGCAAACAAGATAACGCAGAGGGACCCGCGCTGCCCCGCTCGATTCAGCAGATGGGCACCGCGACGGACCTGAGGTTGATGGCGCTATTTAATGGGAAAGAGCGCGCGGTCGATGCGTGGAAGGGTATTTTCCGTGCTGCAGACGAGCGGTTTGATGTTGCCAGTGTCCAGGCGAATCCACAGACATTTTTCGCCGTGGTTGAGGCTGTGTGGCGTGGATGAGAGAGAGGGTAGCCTTTGCGGACCGTGAAGATAGTTTCATGAAGGACTATACAATTGAGCGGCTTGAGGAGACATCATTAAATCTCCCCTGGTTTTAGCGTGTTGCATAGCTTAGTTTTTGAGTGTCAAAAAGTGGTCTTCATAAAAAAAAAGGGAAACGTTACACTCTTACAAAATGAATTTCTATATTAGTCAACACCAATATTTGAACTCGTGAGGTTCGGTACATCTATATGTATATGTATTGTACCTCACTTACTCTTAGCATCCGACAGGGAGTAAGTAGTAAATCATACTATTGCTTTATGACTATATTAACCTCTTGTTGCTACACGAAGTATGTACATGAGCTATAACAAAGCGATTTGAAATTTGAAAATGTAGATAAATATTTCTTTTTCTTCTGAAGGTGATTGATTATACCAGGATTGCCTTGGCCAATTGAGAAGGGAGAAGTTTTCGATCTTAAAATGGAATGGCAAACAGGGGACACAGTGCCTTCAGGGGCAGCATGTGGGGGGCTCGGGCCGACAACAACCCCAACGGCAAAATGGGAGACAGTTTGCTTCAATAATTAACGGAAAAGGGCCTTTTTCTTTCTGGAAGGCCTTGGGAAAATGTCTGCACAATATACTAAATAAATGCAACTATGATGTGCTTGTATCAAGTAGTCACCTGTGCGAAAATTAAATACAACAGGCCTAGCTTGGACGAACAGCTCGCCGACTCAGGTTACATTTCTGCTTAATCTTGATCCCCATAATAAAAAACACCGTGGAGTCAAGGTGCTTTCACTCGGATTGGAGGCTGAGAACATTCGTTGTTCACTTAATAAATACAAGCCAAATACTTCCATCAAACACCCCAAACCACAGTAGACCACATCTGCCCCAAAGGAAAAGGCCAAGCAAAGTCAACAACAAAGTCTTAGAAAATGGATAACACTCTGCCCGCAATCCGAATCCTCCCCGCAGGAGTGGAGGATGTCTCAGCCCTCGCCCTGGTTGAATCTGATGCCTATTCCCGTGACCCCGTGACGTTATGCTTGATGGGAGAGCAAACGTCCGAAGGAATTGAGCACCGAGCCAAAGAGTTTGCGGAGGGTATAGCGAAGAAAGACCCAAAGACACAATATATCAAGGCTGTGCTGGGTGAAGACACGGTTATCGGCCTGGGCATATGGCACTTATACCTCGACGAGGAATCGAGTAAATCGCGGGTTGTCGATTTGGACCAGAAGGAGTGGGGTCCTGGCGCAAATGCGGATGCGTGCAGGGAGTTCTTCGGAAGGATTTTCAAAATGCGGGAAAGGATGTGTGGACAGAGGCATGTTGGTAGGTCCCCGTTTTCGAATTCCAGTCTTTTTTTTTTTTTTTTTTTTTTTTTTTTTTTTTTTTTTGGGTTTCGCCATCTGTCATTGGAGCCCTTTTTTCCTTTCCATCCACGTTCTTCCCCCCTTTCCCATGTATTTTCTAGGGAAGGACAAGTCTCAGATTCAGACACATGACATTTTTTCTCACAGTATAAAAAGTACTCGGTTGTCTCGCGACCAAGATTGCCCACCAAGGTCTTGGTGCTGGCTCTGCAATGTTACAATATGGCGTTGACATTGCGGATAAAGAGAATATCCCTGGGTGGCTGGAGGCAAGTCTGGAGGGCCATAATTTGTATAAGAAGTTTGGGTTTCAAAGATGCTGAATTCTTTACATTGGACCTAAACAAAATTGGAGGAGAAGGAGAGAGACCTATTTTTGGAATGTTAAGGCTTCCCACACAGAACTGAAGAGAGAAAAGGGGGAGAGCGCGTTTGTAAGCTGCTGGAATACCGCTTTCATTTTGGGAGATTGTATATGTGGATCGTCGGTCTCTAGCAAGCTTCTGAACATACCGAAAAGGACCGGTTCCATTGCTATATATATTCAAGCCGAATATCAATCAGGGGTAGACTTGAAGTGCCCAATGGGCAAGGCCTTGGTCAAACATAGGTTTCCACATCTTCTTAACCACCGCGTATCCGAAACAGATCAGCAGTAGAGTGGAAGAAAAGAGTTATATCTCAATGTACAGTCCAGATTTGGGTGGACTTTGGGTGGTTTCTTCTCATAGGTTTACCGCGAAAGAAGACAAGTCCTGAGATTTTAAAACCCCCCCACGGTCAGTTAGTTACTTCAGATGATGTGTGATTGGGATTGCAAAACACCCTGAGGATTAATTGAGGAGCGAATTGCCGTGGGCTGTACACTTAACAGCGGCTGTAGCTGTTATAGTTCAGTTCAGAAAATTACGCCCTTCCACTGACAACATGCCATCAACAGACATGGGAATGAGAATCTTGTGCAAGCCTGTCAATCAACAATGAAGTCGTTTCATTGGAGATTGAAGAACAATATGCGAATTTCCTGAGACTCTCTTGGATTCCTCTTGCGACTCAAGAACCATATGTGCTCTCAATTTCCTGGCTATTAAAGTGTGCAGATGAGCATCATGCAGTATTCTCACCTAATTGAAGTTGACAGAAGACAGTACCTATCCGTCCCGGACATTGAACATTCAGGGAAAAAGTCTCTGAGAGGGTGATGTAGAATCGAATTGGCTGTTGCATTTGAAGTCTACCTGCGGTAGGGTTCACAATCCCATTTTGAGGCAGGTGGGGTATATTCTGCTGTACCGATTCTTCAGAATTGACACGCTGATCCATTTGGCAATACGTAGCTGCCATTGCGGAGACAAGAGCTTTATCCCATTCTCTCACCTCCAAGAAATAACTCAGAGGATTGAGTGGGAGAATGCCTTTGGTTAGGGCAACTAGCTGGTTGGCCATTAACGACTTCAAGTTCATTGAAGCCTCTTGAACAGATCAATGTTGCATAGCAGCGTTTCCTAGAATCCTATGGCTAATCTGATCAAGACAGCTCTTGTTGGCCATATAACATGAATGAAATTCATTGCCAAAAATCATTATTGAAGGAATTCCCAGGTTGAGCCTCCGAGTTGCTCACGTTAATCCTATTTGGGAAAAAGATTTTGGCTTCCACAATCTCAACAAGTGACACCGAAGCGCGTCCGTAATTAATTCAAGTGGACTGCGACCTCCCAAATAATGAATGAATTACGGCTGATCGTCGACGGAAGGAGAGTCGAAGCTGAGAGTGGCTAGCACCAATAGGAGTCGAACACGCGCCGGTGGAATCCAGCTGTCGTTGCCCTGTCTCTGCCGTCGTACAGTCGATCGTCCGTCACAACCCACTGGCAGTGTTTTTTTCTCCTGTAGCCAAACATGAAGCGAAGTTACGAGGTAATCTAATCTAATCCATATGCTATACCCGATCTAATATTCAGCACAGAATGCTCTCAAACTCTTGGAGATGCGCCGGCGATGCGACCGGCCACCAGCGCTTGCAGCATCCCCAGTGACGCAGGATACAGCCATTCCTGGCAATAATAATATTCTGAGGGGTGTGCCCAGCCTAGCTGGAATGTCTGAGTGGTTGCGGATCTTAGGTCACTCGGTAAGGAAGGTCTCTGGCCTGCAATTGTGATACTTAGCTTGTTCTTAACCAGTGTCAGGACCGTGATCTTGACAAACTGAACATAGTCCATATTGCTGGGACGAAGGGCAAAGGCAGCACCTGCGCTTTCACGCGCTCTTTTCTCCATGCGCATGGTTTGAGAACAGGATTCCCAAGCCGTATCGGCTTATATACTTCCCCTCATTTGAAATGTATCAGGGAGAGAATACAGATCGACAATCAGCCAATAACGGAAGATATGTTTGAGCGATATTTCTTTGAAGTGTGGGAATGCCTGATGTCTTCCGAGATAGCGAGGTTGCCACGTTATCTGCAACTTCTGGCTCTATTGGCTTTCCACACATTTGTCAAGGAGAATGTTGATGCAGCAATATTCGAGACACACCATGGCGGGGAATATGATGCAACAAACGTGATACCGAAACCTGTTGTAACGGGGATCACCTCACTTGGCATGGACCACATTTCACAGCTGGGACCTACAATCGAGGATATAGCCTGGCATAAAGCTGGTGTCTTCAAAACCGGCACTCCTGCATTCTCCATATTACAGGAGGATGGTCCTCGTGCTGTTCTGGAAAAACGTGCCGCAGAGAAAGGGGTCAGCTTGACCTTCGTCCCAGCCAATGATACCCTTCCTGATGGCGGTAGAGTGCTCAGCATTCCGGCTCAGCGACTGAACTGCTCTCTTGCCCTTGAGATAGTGGGAGCTTTTTTGAAGCTCAAGGCACCTGACCACACAATTGACTTGGGTGACATATCTAGTGGTATTGAGAATTTTTCATGGGCCGGGAGATTCGAGGTGATAGAAGATGGAACATCACGATGGTTCCTGGATGGAGCGCACAACACGATGAGTCTGGAACAGACGGCGGAATGGTTCTCGAATAACACCAATGCTGCGGGTAGCCCAACGTAAGCCGGTTTATCCTTCTAACTAGTTGGGTAAACTACTAACACAGCTACAAAATATGGCTTAGCTTTCGTGTTTTAATCTTCAGCCACTGTTCAGCAGACCGCGACGGTGCGGATCTTTTAGAGTGTCTGGCGCATTCTATTTTGAAGCACAAAGCTGCGCCAAATTGTGTTATTTTCACAACCTACCAGGAGAGCGAGGGCGGGTCCACAAGAACAGGTATGTCAGCCGAAACTACACCACCACTGTAAACGTAATCCCGATTAACTTCTCCAATCTTTTACTTTTTGTTCAGGCAATACTGTTACATTATCCGAGACATCTTTTCCTGAACTCTCCGGTTTATACTCTTCAATATGGACGAGTCTTAGCCCCATATCTGTAGTTTCAATCGAGCCTACAATTGAGCGTGCAATTAAGTTTGCAAAACATCTAGGTACCCAACAAGGTGGAATGGACGTGCTTGTAACCGGGAGCCTATATTTGGTTGGAGGGGCTCTTAACGTTTTACAAAGACAAATTGGTTCAAGCTAACTGGAGCCCTCCTCAAGAATCATGTGCTTTTTGACGGAATGATACCATTAGCATGAATCTGATAATTACATTTCTCAATCCCTCACTGGTTTACAGAGCCATATTCTCCAATATTACAATTCATTCAACAAAATTTGATACACCAACTAGTGCAAGTTGTGTGAGACAAGCAGATTGAACAGGACCGTGCAACTGAAGTCAAATTTGAAAACTCATGGACGAATGTAACTACAATACATACCCATAATCGATCGACCTCTATCTATCTGGTTTTGAATGGCCATTTCGCGCGTTGAACAGATGGGAACACAGAAAATAAAACAAAAGAGCAACTGCCGGGCATTCAGCTAATCCCCATACTCATCCACAATCCATTGGCAGAATCCCTCCCACGACTCCTGCCAACGCTTTATCCTTTCAGCACGGATACCACTGCCATTGATGCCAAGTTCAATATCCTGAAGCCACTCGTCCTCAGTCTGGTCTTCATATATGCCCCACCGAACACTATTCTCTGCCAGTGATCCCAGCCCAGCCAGCCCGAGGTTCTCCCAACCTTGCAGTGCCGACCAAAAGTCATGAGACATTCCCGAGGTGCCTTGGCCTAGGAGAGCGGGATCATCGTTGCTAAGTGATGCTGGGACACCACGAGCTAGCAGCGCGGGAAGGGGATGCGCCAGGACCGTTGCCGTCAATCTCAGAACTTCATTTGAAATCGGACACGATTCAATAAGTATTTTCTTTTCCTTGACTAGATCAATCAGATCAGGATGTTTGTATAGCGAGAAAGCGTGCCCGATGCGTCGAGTCCTGAGCAAGATGGCGTCGTAGAGATTCTCATCTGTGCCATCGCCATCCCCTAGACACTCTCCCGCATGGAAAAAGAAGGGTATCTCCAGCTTCTCCTCGATGCATTTTTGCCTGAACCATATCAACTCCGGGGTCAAGTCTTTGAGAGTGCGCCCCATATCTTCCTGGCCCACGAGATCGAAGCCGGCGATTAAATGCGGGTGTGCCTTTTTGGCAAGAATGCAATTTTGCATGTCTTACCAGCAGGAGAGGAGTTAGTCAACGGCCTACACCCAGAGAAATTTACAGGCTTAAACGTACTTTGAATTATTTGTTCCGTGCCCATGGACCGTATCCCCGTCCAGATGATACGTCCCCCCCAAAAATTCTCACCCAGCTTCGTCGCCTTGAACTTCTCGATCTCCTCTCCGATGGCTCGCACCATCTCGCTGAAATCTCCACAGGGAGCATCCTCATGTTCACGCCAATATGGCTCTGTAAATGCATCTCTAAATTCCACCCACTGGACTCCATCTTTCGCGATCGTCTCAAGTAACTTCTGGATAAAAGCGCGTAGAATGGGCTCATAATACGTAATCGAGCCCAAAGTGACAAACGCAGACGTAAACTTCCGCCAGATCGCGTCGACACCAAGATGGTGCTCTATAGAGTCTTTTGCGACAATTGATGTCCTATCCTTCAGCCACGAGATAAAACCCTTCCGACCACCATCCGGGAAACTATCCGCAGCAGCATTGGCATCAATCAGCGTACCAGGTTCATATCCGGATTTCCAGACCGATGCAGAGGCTTTCGGCACGGCGCTCGAGTAAGTAAACCGCACCGCAGCCGTGCGGCGATTACTCTCAGAGTGTAGCGGTACCGTTGAGTAAAAATACATTCCCGGCGTCGCCAGTGTTTTCTCATAGAGCCAGCCAAGATCCACCATTGCTGACATGTGGCAATGAAGAAGGGCGCCCTTGGGCATTCTGCACGCGATTTTCCATAGCTTCGTGGACTCCATGCGCCTCTTTGCCAACATGAACATCATTCCGGGATATAGTTCTTCTTCACCACCCTCATCATTGCATACTTGGCGCCAGATCGTATTCTGTTCTTCGCTCCGGATGCGACGAACAATATCGCAGGCCTTCTGGGCTGTTGGTGAGAGGGAGCGGCGGAAGTCGGCATCTGCAGCGGTGTAAATTTCAAATGTTAGATTATCGGGCGGGATATTGTGCGATATCTTTTGCAATCGGCAGAATCTGCGCATGAATTTATTTTACGGGTAATATGTAGTAGCTAACCGCTGCGGTTTCCCCGCTCCTGTGAGATCAGTGCCTGGCGGCTCTGGAGATGTTTTGAGACACCGGAGCTGACATCGTCGGGGATGCATGTTGGGATACTATTGCTGCCCATGCCGAATAATGAATGCAAATCAAAGTCGGGTATCTGTGGCGTTTCTGTGGAGCAAGATTGATCAAAGACAACTCTCAATATTAACCCTTCTCCATACGAGGTAGAACTATTGTGTTCCAAGAATGAGACCAGTGGGTGAGAGCGCAAATGAAGAGAATAGGGTCCTCCCCAGCTCTGTGGATATCTCCGCGTAGATGTTCGGCTGTAAGCTCGAGGTCAGAAAATGACAGCTCCTCTATCAACATGCCGTCAGCTCCATTGGTGCCTGGGCATCAGCACGGCGATTAAACGTGTTTACATAGTACATTTTGGCCGTTGGAGCGGGGCAGTTTCGGAGCTTAGCCTGCTCTTTGGCGCGAACGGAAAAGGGCGCATGAATCGGTCACTTTTGATACTAGTACTGGTGCATGTAGTCGTCTCCATTATTTTGTTCTTACTTCTCAAGGCCGAAGAGAATTACCCCCAGTTACTACATTCGCATTCGCTTTTTAGTCAAAAGAAATCCCAAGGACCATAATTCGACAGAGTTAAGCTGAAGGCTATTCCATACTAGTATTCAAAAGCCGCTGGCGTCATACCAGATTTTGCCTCCATGCCTGAGGAGCCGTGCTTTCGATTGACTGGCGCTAGAGAAAACAACATTTTGTTGCGCACCAGGATTTACTTGGTATTTGATCTACAAGCCATTGCCTGTTGGAAAGTAGCTTTGACAGAAGCTCCGATTGACGTCCAAGATTACCAACAATGCCAGCAAATCCATAAAGTCAATACCCAAAACATAACCATATGACCTCACTGGCCCAAAGAACTCAAAAAAATAGGGAGAAGAAGGGGAAGGGAGGCGAAATGGGAGGGAAGGTGAAATCGAACATTTAAAAGACTCCCACCACCCATCAGCGTCGTGAGGGGGTTGAAGAATGAATCATCAACATAATATATTCAGTGACATTTTGATACCAAAAAAGGAAAAAAAAAATATCCTTAGCAATACAATCCCGATCATGTCCGGAATTAGAGATACGTGGAATACAGGTCGCCGCACAGAGCAGCAAGAATCGCAAAACAACCCGTTGCGGTCTAGCGGAGACACAGAGGGTGGCATGCAGGGCATGCATGGCTCCCAAGGAATTGGCCAGAGCGAATTGGGTTCATCTAATACCTACGGCACCCAGTCAACTCAGGGCTACGGTGCTGGTGAGGAGCAGCAGTATGGCCAACACAAAATGGGCCGCAGCAGCCAGCCGATGTCTTCTGGAATGGGACAAGGCCAGGAGGGAATCCACAACTTGGGAGCACAGGGCATGGGCAGTGAGCATCTAGGGAACCAGGGAATAGGAAGCGAGGGAATGCGGTCCGAAAACTGGCAGGATCAGCCTGGTGAAAGCCCGGGAAGAAAACGTGGCTCGCAGTCCTCAGAGGCTTCCGACATAAGCTCAGCATCCCAGGAGTCCCACGACGATAAGTCAGGTAAGCTTCTTTGTTTTGAGGTTAGAATGTTCTCGTTGAGGAGTTAAACAACGCTGCTGACTGGAAATAGGTGCTAGTGGCCTTTTGGAAAAGGCCAAGGATAAGTTGTCCGGGGTCCGCTAAAGGGAATTTATTGGATATGTTGGGAAATAAAAAGCATTCGCAAATTGGATAGTGGTGGCGATATTGTTCGATTTTTGTTCGTTCCTGATCATGTCAATAAAACGAGAAACAGGGTGATCTATATTTTCACACCTCCAAAAAAGATAATAATAATAATGAAAAAAAAAAAAAAAAAATGCCGGTGATGGCTAAAAAGTTGGCTCATAAGTTCAATTCCAAATGGGAAAAAATTCCAAAAAAAAAATCTTGCGTCAGACCGTTTCATCGTAGTCATATTGCTGGATTGATTTTAGACAAGTAGAATGTATACTGCAGTCTTTGGCTGTAGAAAATGTCTATTTACATATATAATATACACGCCAAAACATATCATGGTGTGTATTTATTCATTTGACCATTCCGGCTTCCGCTTTTCAGCGAATGCGGTCATTCCTGCAATGTGCTCATTAGAAACTGAAACAGACATACAATGGTAACTGGGGAGTCAAGGGCTTATGTTCATACCGATTTTCTGATCCTTACTGCCGAAAAGTCCGTGGAATAGACGTCTTTCATACTCCACGCCTTCCTTCAGGGCGAGTTCTTGGCTCTTGTTGACGACCTCCTTTGCAGCAACGACTGCGACACGGCTGTGACCCGCAATGACGCTAGCGGTCTCGACTGCCGCTTCAACCAATTCATCTTGACCTCCGTCAATGACCCGGGCAGCCAGACCCCACTCCCCAGCTTCTTTCCCGCTGAAGTTCTTTCCGGTCAGGATGAGCTCCATAGCTTTGCTCTTTCCAATTGCTCTTGTGAGGCGCTGGGAGCCACCAGCACCAGGGATAGTTCCAAGTTTGATCTCTGGTTGCCCAAATGTTGCTTTAGAGGTGCAGTATAGGATATCGCACATCATTGCAAGCTCGCATCCGCCTCCAAGCGCATATCCAGACACAGCCGCGATAACAGGGGTACGGATCGTATTTGCGAGATGTGACCAGGGGGCAATGAAGTTGTTCGAATATGCAGACGCGAAAGTGAGGGGTGCCATCTCCTTGATATCGGCGCCAGCTATAATCTGTCAACACTGTTTGTTCGATTGATATTCCTCAAGTTGGATGAATTACCCGCGAAAGCCTTTTCACTACCAGTAAGGACTATGGCACCAATGTCCTTGTCCTCATCATATTTCGTAAGGGCATCGTTCAATTCACGGAAAAGCGGGCTGGAAAGAGCGTTAAGAGCTTTTGGTCTGTTCAAAGTGACTACGTGATGTTTTGTCAGCGTGGTTATGTCAATGCCGGAATTCCACAATAAAATAAAACCACCGCAATTTCCATTGTCCAATAAACCTGTAAGTACATACTGAGGCCAACTCCTGGTTTCGGGGTCGAGACGAGGATATGTTCGTAGGCTGGAGAAGCTGTGGAGTAAAGCCGGCTGTTCCTCAAACATGAGGTCAAAGGCGTTGCAGCCACGCGCGCAACAAGCCTCTCACATTGTCTAACAAACATCTTAGATAGCGAGACTGGTAGCAACAGCACTAATTGGATAGCAATGAGACAACAATTGAGATGCCCGCGCTGCCTTGCCTCCTCTTTGCTGTGGTTGTGATGGTTGTCCTTGCTCCACCGAACTATCTCACACAGCCGGAGCTCGGTGAAGGTTTTGCCGAGGCCAACCGATAGGTCTATCACGTGATCATATAAGATGAAACACGCTAACCCTAATCAGAAACCTTTTTACTAAGCCAATTGTGGCTTGAAAATCTTCAGCCACGTTTTGCCTTTCCGACCAGATATCAAATCGTGACTGACAGAGAGCCAAGTTCTACCTCTGGCGCGCAATTCCTGTGAACTGCCGTGGTCTGCGTCGGATATCCCTTTCGCCGTGGATTTGTGGGAATATTGCCGATTTATTCGTTTGTTCATTTTGCGCCATGGATGCCGTTGAGCCTGACCAGACGCCTTTTGCGGCAGTGACGACGCAAACCTCAAAGCTGACTCGGGTATGTGGTTTCCATGCTATATAGCATCAACGCAGTCTGCTGTAACAGACTGTGGATTTGGGGCCTTTAAATTTATCTACCCAACTCTTTTCTTTAGCTAGCGAAGATGGCTGATGCTGATGCTTTGTTTGATTTAGAAATACCAAGCCTATCTTGATGCCGCAACCCCTTACACTACATACCGATGGATAGGCACTGGCCTTCTGCTTGTTGTCTTCTTCTTGAGAATTGTTATGGCACAGGGCTGGTATATCGGTACTTCCTCCCCCGCCGATTGCACAGGACCTATCTTTACTGAAACCCATCGTTAAATTGAAAACTAATCCATTGACCGGCAGTCGCCTACACCCTGGGAATCTATCTTCTCAACCTTTTTCTTGCCTTTCTACAACCCAAGTTCGACCCATCTCTCACGCAGGATGAGGGCCTAGAGGATGGCGAAAGCTCTCTCCCAACCAAACAGGACGACGAGTTCCGCCCTTTCATTCGAAGACTCCCCGAGTTCAAATTTTGGCATTCGGCCACCCGGGCGATCTTCATCGCATTTCTCTGCTCCTGGTCGGAGATCTTCAATATCCCCGTCTTCTGGCCTGTCTTGGTGGTCTACTGGTTGCTGCTATTTGGCCTCACGAGTATGTTCTAAATAAACTACCCTCAATTTCATTCTCGATAACCCCATACATATGTCAAGCACCTGGATATTGATATTCTATATTAGTGCGACGACAAATACAACACATGATTAAATACCGCTACGTCCCCTTCACGTTCGGCAAAGCGAAATATGGCCGTAGCTAAAGACAGACATAATCCATATCTGTTTCTTGCTCCTTACGACTTACTATCCCCGCGTCCAACCGTTCGCCTCCTTTTCTATGTCCTTCTTCTGCGTCGTACAATCTATTATTACTCGCCAGCATATGCAAATAAACAATAAATATAATAACTGAAATTGAAAATGAAACGGAAGGCCACATGGCGCATGGCGCATGGCATGGCAATATTTATATATGTGTGCTGTCTAACTTCCTTTCAACTGCATTCAATTCCCTATTCCCATGCTCTTCTGTGTATAAATAGGTTTTAGAGACGGTGGTTGTTCTAAGCATTTGTTCCACTCTCAAAAGGAACAGCTTTGCTCCTTTTCAAGTGGGCGGTTTTTTTTTTTCTTCCGCGAAGATATTCCAAAATGATTCGGCCGTTCGTCGCTTTTCCTTGATAGAGCACACGACCAGAACCAACAACTGAAGCATTTTCTGGCTTTTCTTTACTTCTCTTCTCTTATATTATTCCTAATTATTATATTGTCACAATTGTCGTTTTTACCCAGCTGGGTGTATCATTATGAGACCAATAGGTATTCCTGCGACAAAAGGGATCGTTGAGTTAAGTGTATTTTGCTTTTATTTCTTAACTTACATAGTAAAAGAACCCAAATTCCCCTTTGACGAATCATTCGATTTACCCTTTGATAGAAAATGGCTTCAAACCATTGAAAATAGAATCAATGAGATGTAAATAAAGATACAGATACAGAAATATTATAATTCAAAAGGGGTTAGATACCAACCAGGTGAATATTTATGATGAAAACAACACAGCAGACGGATGGAAAGCCCTTATAGAGAGAGGGACGATTCAATGAGAGACTTTCAACGTGTATCTGATACATCTCGCCTATCGCATCATTAATACCTGCGATACATTCGAGTTCACAGTCCCACTGTTGGTCTGGGAGCATTGTCTTGTCGCTTAGTAACAGTCCGAACACGAGCCGACTGCCTGTTTAGGCCTAGTGACGACCATGGAATCGACGACAAACAATTGTCCACGAATGTCGAATGTCCATTTCGGGATCGCTTCGATCTTGCACGGATCTGCACCCTTCTGCTAAGGCTTTCACCATGCAATGGCAGTCTGGTCTTGTAACTCAAATGAGTGGCTTCGGGCCTGATCCATCCAGTTGGCTCTTGCCATCGCCAAGCTGCTTGACAGCTTTAACTTTTCAGCCCTCCAGCGTGACGCCATAGGAGTGCTTGCCGATGGCTCTGCTCGTATTGTGGAGCTCTAACAAAGCTATATATTTGCTGGGTTCCAGCACTCCCAAATACGCAGCTGCCTCAGATACATTAGTTTTTCTTTTTCCATCGGGGTTGTCCATCCGCCTGGCAGCTGGCATTGATCTGGTGGTTGTTCCTATCCTTCTCGGGCAACAATGGAGAAAGGCGGGAAGCAGGTGATATTCCGCTTCAAAAATCCGCCGGCACAACCAAGGGCGTCACGGAAACAGTCGTCGCTCGTTTGCGAAGGCCAATCGGGTGATCCAGTGTACCATCCACGAAAGGCACATCGCAAATCCCGAACTGGTTGTGTAAACTGCAAGCAACGACGGATAAAGGTAACAGTGTCCATTTATCTGGAGTGGCTTCTACGTATTTCTAACGAAATGATGGATTAGTGTGATGAGATAAAGCCATGCTGCCGGAGATGTGAGATTTATGGCGTAGATTGCACTTACTCATCTCCAAAATCATCACCCAAGATGCAGCCATTGGCGATGTCTGGATATACTCCCTCACCGGACGGACACTGCCAAAATATGGCAGCGAGCGATTTGGCTTGTCATCTAGAGCGTCTTTTGTGTCACACCGATAATGTCTTTGTATCGGGGTCATTCCGTGCACAGGCATACAAGTGTCTATATCTTTTTATCAACAGACTTTCTGGAAGAGTCCCCGCGACTCCAACCTTCGCCGCGGTTATCAAGGGGGATATGATTCGGCTGGCATTGCAGGTGTGTCAAAATTTTTGTCCAGATGTTGAGTCAATGCCAGGGAAAACGGATATTAATGCCAATATCTACTCAACCTAGACACCGTACCTTATGCACGCTATATTAGGAATCTCCAACGCGTATTTAGCAAGGGCCTTGCCGAGTTCTGCATGCTACAGAGTTCGAGAGACTCGCCATCTCATAGATGCGCTTCGTCTTTATCAGCAGGAGTTGAAGTCCCAGATCACCAAGGATAACATGGACGGAATAATGTCGACGTGCATGTTATTATCGGATGTCCCTCTATTGGAAGTGGAAAACTCACCCTCCGACTCATTCGTATTCTCCTCTGACCCTTCGGCCCTAAACTGGCTTCTAATGCAATCCGGCCTCTCACGCCTACTTCCGTACACTCAACCGTACCTTTCAGAAAGCATCTGGTTCGTGCCCTTCATGGAATCGTATAACGAATATCTAAAAACTAGGGACCGCCGCACCGGTCGGGAAGGACTCCACGCTGAGCTTGCCCAGTTATGCGAAATAAAAGACGACAGCAACGACGAGAACAACACGTACCATGAAGCCCTCCGAAGCCTCATGCCGATTCTGGACATGGAAACTAACCACACCAACTTTGTGACCATGGCTTCATATATGGGTAACCTGAAGCCTAAGTTCACCGCATTAATTGGGAACAGGGAACCTAGAGCGCTTCTTATTTTAGCGTTCTGGTTGGGCAAAATGTGCGAAGATCCGTCCTGCTGGGTTTATGCGAGAATGCATATGGAATGTCTGGCTATCTGCATGTATCTTGAGAGCAATTCGGATCCCCGAGTAGTTGGTCTTTTGGAATACCCGGCGTCTCGGTGCGGTTACGCGTTAAAACACAACTAAGAGGACGGTTCCCTTCGGCTGGGAGAAATGGAATATGCTGTAGGCAAAATGCGTTTTGAAATGTTTTAAAAAGGGCTTTTGTTTACCCCCCTTTACCAAAAGCGTTTACCTCATGAAATTAAGCCGCGATAAATAGCCTGCGAATATCTTGTGGGGAAATCACATCCCCCTTCCCTACCAAACCCCCGCCCCCCAACCCGGGCTCCCTCCACTCGCTCCTTAATGGCACTCTCGTTCATAGAGATTGGATCATTAGGTATATGAAAATCCAATATGGGCTTTTGGGAAGAGCAAAACCCGAAACTCCTTCATTTTTAAGTCTACTGAATTGCTCTAACTTTAACTGCACTCGATAAATGGATTGTACTTGTACATACAGTGTACAAATATGTCTGGACCAATTTGTAATATTTACAAAAGGAAACGAACTCTCTCATCAGCCTATCCCAACTAGATAAAAAAATTAAAATATCTGATTGACCATACTAGGCCCACATCCCCCTGAACTTCGTGTTGAACTCCGCCTGCAATAGCTTGAATCCTTTCAGCACATTGATGATCCCACCACGATCCATTCCGTCCCATGGAGCCACGGGTTCGTCATCGTCCCAAAAATGGCTCGCTGCGGGAGCACCGTCATCTTCGTCACCACCACTTTCCTCCACATCCTCATACTCCCAGCTGCTCACCACCTTCTTCTTTTTCTTGATTGTTTTTGCAGAAGTCATTAGGGCTGCGGTGGAACGAGCAGTTGTTGTTTGCGGCATATGCCGGCTCAAAACTCCTCCCGCGTTTCCAAGTTCCATGCCACCAAATCCATCGTGCATTGCTCCCACATCCACTTCCTCCTCATGCATGTCCCCGGTTCCCATGACCTCCGCTATATCCGCCTCCGTGCCCGGCGCCAGCTTGAGGAAGTTTTCAAAACTCGTCACAATCGTTGCAAGGACTAGGGAAAAGTCATTCAACAAGTACCAAATATCGCCCTTTCGAATTCCATTGTCCCTTTCAATAGCGTTAACATTGCCGTGCTTGAAGAAATCGTATAAGTACGCATTTAGCGGTACCCTATCCTCCTCGGGATAGAGTCCCAAGTACGGAACAACAGCCTTTTCGAGCCAGACGCCGCTGCGGACTGTTTCGCAGAGATCAGAGATGTTACTCCACTTGTCTCCATGTCCTGATAGAGCATAAAATGCTGACGTATACTTCGAGGGTGATTGACCAGTAGTCTGTCCCAACTTAACCTCGATATCCCCACCACATTTCATTCCCGTGAGCGGTAGCTCACAGTCTGGCTCTGTAATATGTTGATCTACAAACGTCTTGACATAGGTGCTGTATGTCTGAAATATTTCCTGATTACTGCGACGTAGCACCTTAGCCGGTTTGCCAGGCATGGGTGGAAGGACAATAACCGAAGTCGACCTTTTGAATGCGGTTTTCTGATTTTCCAGGGCAGAGAGCCGCAGGTATTTGCGTCCGAAAAGGTGAGACAATACCAGCATCAGCGTAAGGAGTTTCTGTTCGGTGCGGGTGTCGAGATCTCTGCATAAACCATGGAAATAGCCATCCTTCAGCAGCGCGTGGAAGGCGAAACTAGAGTTCTCCACAAAATAGAGATGAGAGACGCATCCTGCAAAGTTTAAAGGCGCGCCGTCCGGTCCTAAAAGATGATTGCGGCGTAGGAATTCGATAGAAAACCGTAGATGATGCAATACAGGGTCTCGTGCCTCTCCTCCACCAAGGTAGATGTGTGGGCATGAGAGAAGGGAGTTGACCATCTTCACCGCATTAGGCGCCTGCTTCGATTCATGCAACAATGTGAAAAGGCGGAGTACCAGGCTAGTCGTGATGGGAAAATGGCCGTGTAGATCTGGAAGTCTTGAACTAAGTAAGCGGCAGATTTTTGAGTAGGGAAGACCCTGAAAGACAACATTTCCAAGTACATCAAAGCCTCGACGGCCAGCACGGCCAGCAGCCTGACGGAAGTTGAGCGCGGTGAGGTAGATAGAGTCGCCGGAGAACACAACAGTCTTGCAAGGCATGTTAATACCAAGCGCAAGTGTGCCAGTGGCAATAACAACCCGTAAATACCCCTTTCGGAAGAGTATTTCACACACTTGGCGGTACTTACGGTTCATGCCAGCGTGATGAACACCGATGCCACGTCGTAAGGCAGCGATCAACCGTTCCGGGACAAAGCGTCTCCTCAGTTCCTGAGCGTGTAACTCAAATTCGGATGGCGTGAGCTTTTTGACGTCGGCAAGATGAAAGCCCTCCAATGGGGCTTCAGGATCGAAAGATTCAAAGACACTGGCTTCCGCAGTTGCCTCGTCCCACATGCGATCCTCTCGAGACATTTGGTCATTGCCCTTCTTGCCCTTCTTCACATCAACCGGAGCCGCCTTCTTGGCCCGTTTGTCTTTGGATATTTTCCAAGACTCAAACGCAGTAACTTTAGCTTTCCAAGCTGAGTTCGATGCTTTCCATTTTTCTTCTGCTTTCTCAAATTCACTAAGCACTATCTCACAGAGCGCCTCGCAGGCGCCTCGGTCATAATTGAAGAAGAGCGCTGGAAGGGCGCCTTGTTCGTGGAGCGAGCAGATGAGCGGAACTGTCGTGTCTAAGAAGTTGTTACGGACGACAGTTGGTGAAAATTCAGGCTGTCTGGAATTGCCAGACGAAATCTGAATATCGGGCCGTTGGGCACTTTTCACGGAAAATTCAAGCGCTTTTAGGACTAAATCAAAAGGCGATTTTGGATCCATGATCCAGGTCTTCAAAAGCGGTTTGAGTCGAGCCTCCCAATTGATAATGTCGACTTTGCGAATAACGCTTGGTAGGGCAACGGAAGGGTCAAGCGATTCGTCCACAGGAAAGCTTGCTGTTTGGTATTTCACCATAGCCTTCCAGAGTAGCCAGCAATCGCGTGCCTCGAAAGTCAGGTCATCTGGCATTCCCCTTGAACGGTCAACAATGGACGCTACTGGGTGCATATATGCCATACCAAACGCATTGTCGAGACCCGTGGGGGCGAAAGGTACGGAGTTTGGTAAGCCATTGAAGTGAAATTTGGTTGGTGGGTTGTAAACAAATTTCCGCAAATCAGAATAGCGGTGGCGATGTTCTATCGTAGTGAGATCGATCCCATTCTCCATCTGGGTCATGCGGAGCCAATTGCTGAACTCCTGTGGATTTCCAACTGTAGCAGATAAAGCTATAACAGGACAGGGGGCAAGGAGCAACAATTGCTCCCATACAACACCATCATCCACTTGGCCGATGCAGTGTATTTCGTCGAAAATTATGCGCTTGACTCGGGGTGACCATGAATTCGCATTCGATGGCGCAAGGAGCATAATCTGTAGAATATGTGGAACCGTAACTAGAATTTGACAGCCGGTAGGGTTGTTGATGCGGTAATCGCGGGTATGGATGGCCCATACAGACATGCCACCGTGCTTGAAGGACTTCGAAAATCGAGCTTGGATTTCGGCAGCGACCTGATTAACAAGAGCCTTTGTTGGAGCAACATACACCAATACACTGTTGTAGTCTTCTTCAAGAATTTTTTTCATCGCGTAAAATCTGTAGCACGGAGTAGTGTTAAACACTGAAAACTTGGGATATTATGAAGTAACAGGGAAGAAAAGCTCTCACGGAGCGAAACCCACGAAATAAACGTCTTTCCTGCGGAAGTAGGTGCAACCACGAACAAGCTTCTGTTGGCATCAATCTCGTCAAGAACCTCCCGCTGCCACTTGTCAGGCTCAAAATCACGGACACGGGGATCGCGGGCAGAATCCATATTCCGATCAAAGAAAGGAGCAGCATGGCTGAGCTGGAATTCGGTAGGAGACAATCCGATATCCAGAACTCCATTTTTAGCAGCTTCTAGAAAAGGAAACCTCACAGCCGCTTGCGATGGCTTCAGACTGAATTGAACTCCAAGCTCCACCTGTGGCAACCGAAGGGCTTTGACGGTTTCTGTAACATATTCCGCAATGTCAGGGGTTATTCCTTCCTTGATCTTAGAAATACGACAAACCATATCCCAAATGAACGCTGCAATATGGAGTGACGGGTCCCGATCACCAGCATTGCATCTAGTTATCCACAGCTGAACCAGAATGTGCAGCAGATAAGTCGAAACTTCAGCTTCTATCACGACGTAGCTGTTGTGTGAACGTTCAGCCAAGTATTTCTTGACGTTCGTGAACCGGATAGCCAAATCAGATTCTTTATCGAAAGTAGCTTTCACTCTGGACCATGCTTGAAGCTGCTTTTCCGTCTCTTCCGTTTTCCTTCTCTCATTTTTCGCGGCAATAAGATCTTTCGTGAGATTCCTTTTGCTGCTGGACTTCAACGGACCTTTCTTCTCATTAACTTCAGAACGAAGAATGATATTGGGTTTCGACGCCGATGGCTTCTTCTGCTTTTCGTCTTTCCCAGACTGTACGAAAATAGTCTCCGGTTTTAGTATTCCACCTGTCGCATTAGTTAGGCTTGCCGCGTAATCCGCCATCTCAGACATAAAGCGTTGATTGCGACGATTAGCAAAGAATGCTTGCTTTTCTGTCATTTTTGGAGCAGCAACTTTGGCGCCAACGGGACGACGACAGTTATGCCAATGGCTAAGCTCTTGGAAAACCCGTGATGCTGTTTTTGTAATTTTGTGCGTATGGGATTTGTCGATCGCGAGTCGGACAGGCGCCAAGTGACGGTCAAAGACAGGATGGGCGAAAGGGAGCACGCTCCTAGAAATTTCTTTTGAAGTGGTTGTGGTTTGGGTGTTCTCGGATTCCCTTACATTCTTTATTGCGTTCCCAGATACGCCATTTCGCACTTTGTTTCCTTTTAATCATCGACGAAAATGTGAATGGGAGAGCTGGAGAAGTGTCAACTTACCCGAGATTAATATTTCAGATGTAATGCTGACTCCACACAGTCGCTTCACCCATATAATGAGAGACTCGAACTTTGAAATCACTGACGAATTGGAAATATTTTGTGAAAATCCTAAGTTCAAAAGATGGAAAAATATTCTACCATCAAGTAGATCAGCTAAATCGCAATAAGTTGTGTTTTTGCCCACAAATTCTTTCCAATAACCAGATCTGAGAACTTGGTAGGCAGATGTGATAAATTTTGAGAAGAAAATACTACCCCGGTTTGATTTGGGGTTGACTGCGCGATCGGAAAGACGACACTCATGCAGAGTGGCAGTGTGTATCAGTATTGCTTCTGATTCCGCGGCACTGTGTCCTTCCAGGACACCGTATTTGTACATCAGGCTCAGCGTCATGACGACGACAAGGTCACGCTGGGTCAGGTCCTGACAATCGGACTTCTTCAAGATGTTCTGGAATTCTTGCAAAATTTTCAAGTCCTGCGGGTCTCTTGCTCCCCTTTTTGATTCAGGGATACCACTCGTGTTTAAATCCAATTTGGCGAGCTCCTTGGCGACGATCTCGTTAGCATCAGTATCGTCCAAATTGCTAGAAGCAGACTCTGATTCCGCATCAGACCTTCCGTCTTCATCATAAACCCCGCTAGTAATCCCAGTTGGCTCATCATCAGCAGTGGACATGTATGGGGACGCCTTTCGAGCCCCTGTTGCGCTGCCTGTCACAATTATCGCCATTACCTGCTCCCCGGTCCATATCAGTTCTCTCATATCCAGGTAATTGGTGAGAATGGGAACGAAGGGAAATCGAACGCACCTTGGTATCCCGACATTCCAGACCATTGAGGAGGGCAATACTATAACCTAGGCAAACGAACCAGTTTATCATTGACCGAAAACCAATAGCATGACTGGCAAGATTGATCGGAACTGCTGATTCAACTTCTTCAAAACTGTAATCACTCTCCTGGCCATCTTCGCTTTCGGGGCTGGCACTGCATTCAACTCCCGGCTCAATATTGACAAAAGCACCGTCATGACACATGATAAAATACGCTCGAGAGGCAGTCAAGAAGCTCTTAAAATCGCTGGCATAATAAGAATCAAAAACCTTAACCTTTGTACGCGAAGTTCGACCGTCCATATTGCTCTGGAAATGCTGGATAATAGATTCTCGGGCCAGAAGGTACCTGGAATGCAGGTTACCCGGGATATTAGGTGGGATGCATAGCTTTGCATTGTCCTCAAAAAAGACGAGATGGAAAGTACATTTCCGCTGGTGAATTCCGCGCAGAAAATTCTCGATAATATAGGTGGCATGTAGCAGCTGGAAGCCAGGGTTAAAATCTAGTTTCTTGTTTGAAAAGGTGTGGGCAAGCAGCGAGTCGCCTTCGATGAGAAACAACTCATCACCTGCGTAATCTCCCACCAGGTCGACACTTCGGGATTTCAGACCCGCATACCTAAAAGTTATGTATTAGATCGCATAACGTTGTCTCTTTTTATTGTGGAGAGGGGTATGTTCACCAATGTAAAACAGCCTCTGTCTTTCCCATATTCAGACACAGCTAGTGCAAGGTAGAGCCTGGAAAGATAATGGAAAAACGATTTTAGATCTTAACTTATCATAGGCGGTTGGAAGACCTGCAAGGCGTTCAAGGAGGGTTTCCGTAGGGAAACAACTCATAAAAACAAGCAAATGGGGCGATCAGGTTCCTCTGTTTGGGTAATAGAAAGCCAGGACAGAAAAACTTATAGAAAAACAAGAATAGCTATTCCACAAAGTAAGTGGAAATATGGCTTATTCCTATCTTTATATCCTTTCCAGGCCCAGGGACATAATGCCCTCTATGGCACTGGATGGTTCAAGCAGGAGGCCTCGCTGCAGAAGACACGCCTGACACTGCAGACACTGCCAATGGGCAGCAAGGAGCCTAATGAAATTGGAACGAAAAGCCCATCAAGCCATCAATAGTTGAAATCCAAGAGAGCCTTGATGATCATGGACCTGATGTAAATAATGGCAGGAAGTGTTTTATGGCTAGTTTCAGCCTTGTTGGAGGCCTCACTTTGTTTTGTGTGGGATGCATTGCTAGCCATAACACCTCCATTAACACTGGGCGGATGAGCATCACCAACACCAGACAGACCAATTGCCCCGACGCAAGGTGGATGCGCGAACCAGGATATGCATCAGCAAGGTCTGACGTCTGCATATACTATCAGTGCTCGCGCCCCTACCGAACGCCGTACAGTGAGAGATATGATCCAATACTATCGTTTGATATCTTTTGATCTCCAGTGTTAACCGCCACGGTAGGGGAACATGCAAACGGAGCACACAGCTTAAGGGGGGATTGAGGCACACTGGTGCCGTTCTTCAGCGACAAGGATTGCGGGCCAGTTAGCCGACCCAGAATCTCGCATATCCTCACTGGCTGACCGGTTTGCCAATTCCTGGTTTGGATTCGGAATGCACGGGATAAATGGAATGGATGGCAAACGAGGGGCAAACGTTGCCGAGACGATGGGAACACAATGCCCAGACAGAGGACATAGACCAGGGAAATGTGCATATAGTTATTTGCCTCTAAAACTGGATGCTTCGTTAAAGAAAAATTTCGTTGCCTGTAACTAAGGTCCATGCCGCGCTTCATACAGGACCGACCACAGGGAGTGGGGAGGAGGAGAATAAAGGTAGATTGATGGGGAAAACTCGGCTTGCTAGGATGTAACCCTAGTTGCGCCATGGGCCACTCAAACGGAAATAACCACTACCACAACAATTTTACTATATCTGCATAAATCTTCTTTGTCGATATATATATGCGTAGTCCTCGCCATGTATAAATAAAATGCGCCTCAATTGCGATCGGTAATTAATATAAAGTGGAAACTCAGTTGAGACATCAAATAATTTCTACACCGTAATGCACTTCAATGACTGATTGGAAAAGGAGTTCCAAGTTATTATAGCAGCTTATATTTCAGAGATACCCAACTCAAAAGCCGACACGATAACTATATAGAAAAATAATTTGTTTGGAATTTTTTTTTGGCCCTGGAATGGAAAATGCGTCAGGATAGCCACTTTTGATATAAGTACCAAAACTATGGTTAATATCAGGGCCCCGAAAGAAAACACCAGAGTTGTCCTGCGTAACTAGTCTTGCAGCCTATCCTCTTATGTCGTTATCCAAGGATGTTTAAATCCATTAATATCCTGCCAAGTACCTAGAATGGTGAAAAGGGAATGAAAGGAAAATTAAAAGGGTAAAAATGAAAAAACAAAACAAAATAAAATAAAAGTCAATTCAACCATAATAACCGACGTTCAGTATTCAAACCTGTCAACCCCAATATCCAACCGAACGACATAAAATGTTCTTAACGCGGCTACAGGCGCGGCTGCGACTGCACCTGCGACGCCACCAAAGCTTCTGTGGATGACTCAATGGAACTTCCCAAGTCCTTATTGACGCGGTTGAACATGCCATACGCCGCCTTGCGCACTTTCTGCTCAGCATTGCACAAGTGGCCCGCCACATTCTTGACAAAGTTCGCTTGCTGGCCAGGTTGGCGACCCAGAACCTGCCAGAGGCCATTGGCTTGCACGAAATCCTCATCGGTGACGGGGAGCTGTTTCGCGAGGACAGCGCCGGTCCACTTCTCGTGCTCCTGGCTGGCTTTGACGGGCATGTAATTCATCCGGCGGAAGGTGGATGGATAGTTGGGGTTGGCGCCGTAATTGCCGTTGACGGCCATCGCACCGTCGCGCTGGTACGGGTTAAAGGCGCGCAGCGGGCAGTTGACGGGGATCTGCTGGTAGTTGACGCCAAGGCGGTGGCGATGGGTGTCTGGGTAGGAGAAGAGGCGGGATTGCAGGACTGGGTCTGCGGAGGGCTCGACGCCGGGGACCAGATGTGAGGGCGAGAAGGCAGCTTGTTCCATCTCAGCGAAGTAGTTTTGTGGGTTCTTGTTCAGAACAAGGCGACCGAAGCGGCGGAGAGGGACCTCCGAATGGGGCCAGACCTTGGTCAAATCGAAAATGTTCCAGCGGAATTTCTCGGCCTGTTGAGGACTGAGGACCTGGACGTAACAGGTCCAGGATGGATATTCGCCGCGCTCAATGGCCCGGAAGAGGTCCTCGGTGTGCCAATCCGGATTTTCAGCGGCAAGCTTAGTGGCCTCCTCGTTGGTCAGAGTCTTGCTGCCTTGGTCAGTCTTGAGGTGGATCTGAACGTAGTTGAAACCCCCGTCCGGCGTGAGCCACTTGAAAGTGTGTCCGGAGTAGCCATTCATGTGGCGGTAAGAGTACGGGGTACCACGATCACTGAACAGATGCATAACTTGGTGGATTGCTTCCTGATGGGTGGACAGATAGTCCCAAAACATGGTGGCATCCTTGAGGTTGGTCTGGGGGTTCCTCTTCTGGGTATGGATGAAGAGAGGGAACTTTGAGGGATCACGCAAGAAGAAGACTGGCGTGTTGTTGAAGACCCAGTCCCAGTTGCCCTCCTCAGTGTAGAATTTGGTAGAGAAACCCCTCGGGTCACGAGCGCTGTCGGCGGATCCCTTCTCCCCACCAACAGTGGAGAAACGGGTAACAAGCTTTGTCTTTTTTCCCACGCCCCTAAGCATGTTAATGGTGGTCTATAGTAATCGTTAGCATAGAACATGGTTCTGGGTATGTCTGCAACGCCGCAGATGATGGTTGCAAACAAAAGGACAAGCAGAGTCTTTGACTTACGATATCGCTGATGTCGTCCAGCACCTCGAATTCACCGTACGCTCCTGCACCCTTGGCATGGACGACTCTTTCAGGGATCCGTTCGCGGTCGAAATGCGCGAGGAGATCGATCAGGTGGAAATCCTGAAGGAGCAAGGGTCCATTTTCTCCAACGCGCTGGGAGGACTCGGGGTCCATAACCTATTTATCCGTACCATCAGCATTAGACGAGATGCAACGGTTCTTATTAATGTATCTCTCATTGATCTGCTCTCTCTAATGATAGCCGATCTAGTGGGGACAATACGACAAATTATTAAGAGCAGACGCGAAACCTACCGGACAGCCATTGGAGTCAGTGTAAGTTGGAGTATCCTTGTATCGGTACGAGTCTATATGGCAGGATATTGGTTAGCCCCTGTCTTTGATATCGTTGCCCGCGTCCTAGACACGTCCGTCCATGTATATATCTAGATTAAGTATCGGAAATAGTGGACCGTGCTGGGAATGGTGAGCACATACTGAAGGTATCGTCGGCACCCATGATGGCGATTTGAGAGTCTAGCTGGCTGGGAGATGGTACCAAGAAGTAGATCGACCTAGTAGTCACAACGGTGGGTTGCCCCTTAGCATAAGATGACACTCGAGACTTGGAAGCAGAAGAGGTTTATGGGAGGAGCAACGACGGAGTCGCACTAAAGAGGGGAAAGGGGTGTCTATATATATCGCCGAGACCCCGCCATGGAATCGTCCCCGAGGATGAGCCGCGTGGGGCCGCCCATGGATGCACTAGTGCTTAAGTTGCCTTGTATTTCGGTAGACAAACGAAGTAACTCTCTGTTCCTCCCTTTGGCCGTTGAACTGTCAGGGCTTTCTAAGCCCCCAACTGCCTCAAGCTTGGCCACCACACCGACTATAGTGATATTTGCGAGGGAGGACTGCCGCCTGTCTCTATGCTCTGTCGCTGTGCTCTGTCTCTGTGCTCTGTCTCTGTGCGCTGTCTGTGCATGTTTCGAACTTTACGCGCACCGCCGGGGTGCAGCTCGTTTGCCCCATTTAAAGAAGTTAGATATAAAAATAGAATGGAATACCACCTCAAGGTCCTCAATACCAATCTAGCTCTGCTTTCTTGCAAACGAGGGAAGATACTTATTCGTCTATATAGAACCGCCAAACTTCTTCCACTGAGCTGCTAAGGAAATATTTCCTCTTAGCGCCAGCAGGATCGGCTTGCCATCAGTCTACATATTCTATCGCTTCAATGGCTTCTTCTATATAAATGGTACTCAAAAGTGTGAGAGCTTAGAGGCTTTGATTAGAATTTAGGTGGCCTGCCTATCTTGGTTGCTGGAAGAAACATGACTCAACCATGGAATTCTAGGTCTGGGGCACTCCTTGCCAACAGAGGGTATGCCGTGCGTGGCATCCGCTGGATGGATTTTGCAACACCAGCTAATTTATTTATCTCATTATAGAGTTAGTTCTTGAAGTCCCTTATTTTTATTTTATTTGCCATCACATTTCTTGAAAAGATTAAATAGTTTTACACTTGTGAAAAGTTCCTCATGCGAATACATTCTCGCAGAGCAGACAATATGTACAGTATGCTGATTTCAATGGGTTTAGCCATTTCAATCAACACAGAATTACCATATTAGAATTCTTTATCTCTCTAGCTATATTGTGTCTTAGCACAGATACTTTGATGAATATTGACATATTGTAATATGACGGTGAATGAAAGAATCTATCACTTCATGCATGAAAATCTTGAAAAATTATATACTTCCTTCGCTGGAGAGGGCGGGAGCCAGCGTGTCTGTACCCGTAGTCCGATTAGCGCCTCCAACTCACCCATGCATAATGGGGTATTGCTTAGCCAATAATCAGGTCTGCAATGTAATCACCCCGTCAGCAGAAAACAAGAACGCTAAAATATGTTAACTTACCTAGGTTGCTTCTGGAAGATAGGGATTTCCGCTTCCGGATTAGTGCGAGATCCTTGCCACTGTATCCTCGTCTTCTTAACCAGCCTCACCCCTTTCTCATCTATTTCCCTTGTATTTTTTCTCCACCAACTGAGTAACTTTTGTATTTTTGGCAAGAAGAAAAGGTCTGCTGTCTGATGCAAACCGCTTCAACCTTATACTTATGATGGGTGATCACTTCTTTCAGACCCGTATATGATGTCCTGACTGCAACCATGCTTGCCCTGTGTCTCGGGTGTGCGTCTTGTCTCCGGCAGCTTTGCGCGACAGCCCACCAAATATACAGTATCACCAATCCTGAGTAATCAGGCTAGTGCAGTCTAAATTATGCAAGTACCCAGCTGGATCACTGATGGTTATAGACAGTCGATCTCGGCATTTCCATTTACCAGTGGTCGAATAGATGGAAAGCCCTGGATCCGCGAAATACCGTCAAAATCATAAATATCTGCTCGGAGATATTGTCACTCGACGGTTATTGTGTATTCGCCGTGCCGTTGTAGTATAGGAGATTGAGAAAGTAGGTTTTGTGGACGTGGAAGTGCCAATAAATTTCGCGCAAGAAGCCAAGTTTTTGCGAAGAGACTTAGCTGACTGTGCAGAAACTGCAACATGATTCGATCGTGAATCCGAAAAATCTCGATTTTTAATGTCTGGGACATCTTCCAGAAGCAACGCTGTATATTCCCAAACGAACATTTAACGAACATTCTTCGTTTTCCGTCTTTCGGTTGTACCCATTAAGTCTCGTTTTAATGCAATGCGTTCGCTCCGACGGTCTAGATCAGTTGGAAACCCGTGGTTGATTTTTCCTTTAATACCACAGTGAGGGGGGAGTGCATTCTTCTGCAACATCAGCAACACTTTGATGAGAGCCGAAACACCGGATGCAGACCTCCCATGTCCAATATTGGATTTGACGGACCCTAGATATAGACTCTTGTCTCGCTGGCGGCCATAATCCCAAACGAATGTATCTAAAACTGATCACATTTCTACGGCATCGCCGTTTGGGTTCCAGGGATAGAATAGTAACAATACTTCAAGCAATCAGTCCCTGCATTTCTATGTAGCTAATGCCATGCCCTATAAATAAACCTCACTTAAGGGCTTTTGGAATGATGACTGAGTATTGGGGGTTGGATGGACTCCTTCGGATTCCGAACTCCTAGTCGGTTTCGAGATGGTTGAAAGTAATGAATGGTGAGAAGTGCGCCGTATGCAATCTGGCGAGTGTGGTAGAAGATTCCTCGTGGCTCATGGTACATGATAGAATTTGCATTAAATTGAAATTCATGTAACTAGCAGCTACTCAATAACAGAGAAAAGACTTCAAACCCCAATCCACGCATCCCACCACTATCGCTTAATGAATTGCGACTTCGATTTTCCCAGGAAATACCAAAGCAACAACAGTATTTAAATCATCAACTTCGCTGAGTTAAAAAAAAAAAAAAAAAGAAAGAAAGAAAAAAAGAGAAAAATTTCTCTTCTACCCCTATCGTGTATCACCGCGTGTTCTTACACACTCATTTTACCATAGATGAAGGGTGTTTGAGACGATAGAGGAGGAAAAAACATTACATATGAAACTCCTAGAGCCAGGGTAGCAGTATGGAGCCAGAGATTTTCGATCTAATCGTTCCAGCTTTCCGTCCTCTTTCCTTTCGCGGAATAGCGAACGGGGTCTCTTTCCTATTTAGTAAAGGAAGCAAGCTCATCTCAAAAACCGATTAACCTTTCGCTTTAGGGATAAGATACTTCATCTGACATTAGAGGGAATGAACGATTCATTCCTGCGATGGCATTACCGTCACACTCCAGGAAAAGGAGGCAAACGCAGGAATGCACTGCCACGGACTGCCAAATGAATACTCTTCCTCCCCTCAGTCATATGACGGTTTTGTTGAGACATCTATCTAAAGTAGGCTATGCAACTGAGCGTGCACGAATACAGCAACTCTTGATTTTGGGCAGTGTGGCCACCACAGTCTTAAGGGATCCATGGTTGCCGAATAAGCCCCGGTGTCACAATGTCAGTCGTCGCATATTGAACCTTACCATTGAATTGGAATGGGAATTAGAATGATCCGAGGCGACGACTCTGTATTAGTAACACTGTGGAGTATATGCTTGAGCATGTTTTAGATGGGATAATGGGGTTGGGGCAACGCGAAAATTGACCCACTCCTGATTGTGTCACTCTAAACTTAAACTCATCTCGTTCCAGCTCATCTAATACACTCTGCATACTTTGCAAGGTACTTCTCTCTCCCAGATTTGAGCTTTCAACTTTGGGTGTTTGATGCTTTCCAAATCCAGCATTACCACATTGAGAGTCTTCCCCGTTGAGAATTGGAATTACATTCAGTTTTGCCCCCGTTGGAACTTTCATCGTGGCTCCAATATCCTAGCCGAGTCTGATTTTAAGTTAAAGTTCTTAAAACTTTAAATGTGATCATCTGATATCTGAACCAAACCTTTAGGGGATAGAAGGTTGATGGGTTCATAGTTTGGCGTTTAATATTTTTCCAGGAATGACTAATTGAGGGCTACCAGTTGAAAGTTAGGCGATGGTTACCTGTTAATCTTTATGCAACTGCCTGGCAGATAGCCGATACACTGCTGAAGTCTGCAATTGCTCAACATGCTTATGATGGCAGATTTGAATATGGCAGCTCTGGGAATAGAATGTGGGGAAGCTGTCATTGAAATAAGCTTGTTCCACTGCCGACTTGGCATGTCTTGGCATCTCGGCTAAATTCTTCAATGCTTGTTCAAAGCTTGATGTCAGCCTCATCTAACAGTTCCGGACGATGAAGATGGTTCGTCGTTTCGTTAAGGTTGGCCCCGCTCACTTGTATCCTGCCGGTCGGTCACTCATTCAAGCCTTCCAAGAGTCAAGCGTGTCATCATGGGATAGGAAATGCCGGTAGTTGTGCTCCCATGTCTTCTCGATAACCCTCATTGCTGACCGATTGATTTTCAAAGCTTCCCTCCACTTGTGGCTTGAGCCAAAGTGCTAAGCTATGCTTAAGAGCTGAAGTGGAGCCATGAGCAACAACTTCATATTGTTCAATCTTACATTGGATTCACCAACAAGTATTTGCGCATATCCAGAGAACTGTTTAAGGGCATATTCCTGAAGGTTTCTTCCAGTGGCGCACAGGTTCAACGCCAAAATCCACGGTGCATTGACCTTAGCCAGAGTATGTAGTCGTGTACTGCTAGAGCGAGGCTTGATTCTTGGCTACTCAGGCCAATATGATAATTTGCAAATCATTTAGATTGGCATCAAAATGTCCGCATGTACAGTACATACACAATCTTGGAACTTCGACTCTTCGTAGTTGGATTCCATTTGTGCATCTTTACCTTTCGGTTGATTCCACGAGCCATAATGGATATCCATGGATGAATTGACGATAGCCAGGTTAAAGAAAAACCTTATTGTGGCTCTCATTTCCCCGCATCGGGCATTGCGCCCGATCATTTGCCATGTATATACTACGGTATCCGCCCACTTTTTTGTTCCCTCGCTATGCTCTGTCCTCCTATTCACAGCTTCTATATTTTATTTCTATTTTCGCTTAATATTCCTTCTGCCTCCAAAATTTCTACTTCGGCTGTTAGTAGGCCTCAGCTGTTCTTCTAAATCTCACGCAGCTGCTGCTAATAGCCCACATCCGATCTTTTCAAAAACGAAGATAGCGGTTTGTAAGATGAAAGAGATTACGAACATATACGCCATCGCGGCTTTGTCCGTGATTGGCGGCGGTCTGTTCGGTTTTGATATCAGCTCTATGTCTGCTATGTGAGTTACCTTAGCCCTTCAACGGTGCCGTGTCGCGTCCTTGAATTGACCGCTCTTTTCGTGCAGCATCTCGACTTCCCAGTACCTTTGTTATTTTAACGAAGGTCCAGACTATTTCGGGGTGGTAACCGAAAGTAACCCTGATGGCCTTCGCTGCAGCGGCCCAAGACCCAGTACCCAAGGTGGTATCACTGCTTCGATGCCTGGTGGTTCCTGGGTTGGCGCTCTTTGTTCCGGATATATCTCAGATATCTTTGGTCGAAAGAGATCAATCCAAGTCGGCTCAGCATTTTGGTTTGTGCCCCCTAAAAAAAACTTCTTCTGGAATCTTACTTACCACGGCTCGTAACTCGTAGGATTATCGGAAGTATAATCTGCGCTGCAGCTCAGAACATAGGCATGCTTGTCGCTGGTCGTTTTATCAACGGCTTTGCTGTTGGTATTTGCTCTGCTCAAGTTCCCGTTTACATTTCAGAGCTGGCGCCTCCATCGCGACGCGGCAGGTTGGTTGGCTTACAACAGTGGGCCATTACATGGGGTAAGTCGAGCACTCACTTTAGTTTTAAGGATTCCTTCCCCGACGACTAACATATACGATCAACAACAGGTATCCTGATTATGTTCTATCTCTCATATGCATGTACATTCATTGGGCCAGCGAACGGACAAACATCGTTCAGACTCCCTTGGGCCCTTCAAATGATTCCTGGCGCCTTTCTCCTTTTGGGGCTCTTCTTCCTACCGGAGTCTCCTCGCTGGCTCGCTAAAAAGGGCCGCTGGAGCGAAACCGAAAGAATTATCACCGCCATCCATGGCAAAGGTGATGTTGGCCATCCCTTTGTTAATGCCGAACTGGGGGAAATCAGTTATTTCGTAAAGATGGAGAAAACTAACGATACCACGTATGTGTCCCCGTATTTATTTTAACCCCCCCATCGTAACTTATATTAGAACGTGCTGCTAACGCCGTGCAGTTACTTCGACCTCTTCAAAAAGAATATGATTTTCCGAACGCACGTTGGTGTCTTCACTCAGATTTGGAGCCAGTTGACGGGAATGAACGTGATGATGTATTATGTGCGCAAGCAACCCATACCCCTAATTATCTTCAGTTTGTTAGTTTTAAAAATAACAATTTAACACCGTACTAATTTAACATAGATTACCTACGTCTTCGCCATGGCTGGATTGCGAGGAAACACCTTGCTCGTTTCATCCTCTATTCAATTCGTCATCAGTATGACCCCATAAAGATACCTATCCTAAAAAGAAACTTCAGGCTAACCATTTTTCAGACGTTGTCATGACCCTTCCCGCCCTTATTTGGGTAGACAAATGGGGTCGACGTCCCACCCTCATTGTCGGCGGACTACTCATGTGTACCTGGATGTTCGCCACAGGCGGCATCCTGGGAGCGAACGGCCGATTTGTTCCCGGGGGTATTAACGGAGTCAGAGCGGTATCGTGGGCTGTCAACCCTGGCTTCGCGGCCAAAGCCGTCGTAGCCTGTACTTACCTCTTTGTGGCCTCCTTTGCCCCTACGTGGGGTCCCGTTTCTTGGATCTATCCACCAGAGCTGTTTCCACTTCGCTTCCGCGGGAAAGCTGTCGCACTTTGCACGTCTGCCAACTGGGTATTCAATTTTGCTTTATCCTACTTTGTCCCCCCAGCTTTTGAAAATATCCAATGGAGGACATATCTGAGTAAGTCAAAAATGATTCTTATGTTTTTCCCCTCTACAACCCCCCCCCCCCCTCTTTTTTTTTGGTTTTTTGTTATATTCTATCAGTTATTATTTGACTGGTTGAGGACAAAATATACCCCACCCCTCCACCTATCCCCTGTTTTTTAATTTGTTTTAGTCGTTAGCACGTGGTTAAGCGCTTCTGAGGTCCTCTTGTTTGTCTGTGTGATA